AGGGGAGAGGGGAGAAGATGTTGTTTCAAAAACAAAGCTTCCATTGCATTTGCCTAGTGTGATTTTTGGAATAAACTTACCTGCTTAGAGGCAGCCACTCGCTGTTTCCATAATCTATGTATTGCACCTCAACACAAAGATTATTCTCAAGTGTAGGTACAGTGTTGGGATGTGCTGGAGAATATGCAGTCTTGATGCGAGCTCTGTACCACTGATTATCAGTTGTAAACTGAGCACAACACAGGTCACCTGACAACAGAAAGAACAACAACAACAACAAAAAATGTAGATAACATAATTTTGAAATATCTATTTTCCACAAATTTTCTGTAGCAGCTTTCTGTGATGACTTTCACAATTCAGAGAACAACAAAATACCAACATACCAAACTTGACATCATAGAGAAGATCATGAACATTCTCTGTGCTGTCGCAGTACATGTTAATGACATTCATCATGATCTGGAGTTGTTCAAGGTCAGCTACTCTTTGAATCATGAACTGACAAGGATCTCTGATATGGGTCACAAGAACTAGTTCATGACGATCTACACAACAACAGCATTTGCCAGTTAGTATATTACATGACTGGATAAAAATGAAGAACTGTAACTAAACAGATCATTCACTCCTAAATTGTACAAAACAGTCTAAAGAAAGTTTAAAGAGATTGGAGAGATTCTAAAGAAAGAACCTACTAATTTAAAAAAAAAAAAATTTGGCCTTTTGGTTGCAATTTTTTTAGCCCTTTGACCTTTCGAGGGACTAGTGTCTGATTTTTCCCTACTGACAAATTGTTCCCCAAATTAACCATCAAGGTCAAAAGAATAAAGTGAATGATTACCAATTAAAGAAGCTCTTGATTGTTCAACAAATTCTCCTTGTTAGCTCCTTAGAAAACGTATAGAGAACAGTATGGAGAATATACATAAGTTTTGATGCTTGGGTGCAAAGGGTTAAATTACCCATAGAGTAAGTGAGAGATCTAGCAGTTGCACTTACACGCAAGACTTGTTTTAAGTATCCTGGAGGCAGTGATTGATTGTGGTGTCCTCTCATGCTGCACTCTTGGAACAGATGGCTCAGTATCCGGAGGGTCTTCTTGTTCTTCTTGGGCATTCACAAGCTCCTGTTCTGAGTTATCACTTTCTAGTTCCAACTCTTCCTCATTCATTTCACTCAGTTTTTTCATCTCAAATCTGATAATCAATATTCAACAGGGCAGATACAAATAAGAAATGATTTGTACATGGAGAGATTTCCTGAAACAACTTAATGATGTGTCATGTTAATGTTGTTCAATTTTAACTACAAGTACATCATTTTTGAGAGTGAATAAAGTGGAGTTTCTTAATTTTTATGTCTAAAAGTTTCCTGCTGACCTCTGTGGGTACCATTTAAAACAAATGCAAAAAATAAAGATCTTGTTTCTTGAAATAACCATAACGCAAGTGGGCTCAATAATATTCTTACCTTGCACAGCCATCTGTGAAAACAGAACCATACTCAGAGATTCTCTCCTTCATCTCTCCTCCAGTTTCAAACCTAGATACAAATGAACCACAGAATGAGCACCTCACTGAGCCTTTCCACTGTGTGATCAAACAGATACGATGACTGTACAAATATTGATATTAACCATGGTAAACTGATATGTAAGTTAACACTCTAATGTAGCTTACCTTATTTGATATTCATGTGATATCACTTTTACAGCACAGCACAGCATCTCTTTTACACTTTCCAACTCACTTCTTAACTAAATGTATTAACAAGTGAATTACATTTTTTTCTTAGAGAGGTAAACTGATAAATCATGGCCTGTGATGCTTAGAAACAGTTACCTTTAACCCTTTACAGCCTAACAGCAGTATGCATATTCTCCATACTGTCCTCTATACAAAGTGCTGATAAGGAGATTTTGTTTTTAACAATCAAGAGCTGCTTTAGTTAGTGATCATTTTCTTTTAATCTTTTGATTTTCAAGTTTGATTCAGGGGTGATATTGTAGGGAAAAATGCAATACTGGTCACAGTTAGGGGTTAAGGGGTCAACGGTAACAAGTACACAAAAATGATAGATTACATAAATGGTAAAAGGTAAAGCCTGCTTACAAGCCAAGTGGCTCATTGGGCCAGCACTTAACTCCCGTTTCCATACCATGAAGTGACTAGGATTATTTTTACTTCCCCCTGGATGGGATGCTAGTCCATTGCAGGGTTACCCCCAGCATTAAATTCACTGGTACCCATTTAATTCTCCTGGGTGAAGAGAGGCACTGTGAGAGTAAAGTGTCTTACCCAAAAACACAACACAATGTCCACAGCCAGGGCTCGAACCCAGACCACTCGATCCAGAGTCAAGTGCACTAACCATGAGGCCACTCTGCCTCCACAGATTACAGAAATAATAAATTAATAATATTCAAATTTGTGACCTCTCACGGGAAAACGTTCCGAACGGTTAGCCGTTCATCGGCTGTTCGAATGGATTGGCATGCCGTTTGAATGCCTCAAGCTATCCGTTCTTGAATATTCATCATCCATTTGAACCGTTTGAGCTATGCGTTTAAGAAACTTCATCATCCGTTCAAACGCCTCTAGCTATCCGTTCTTGAATATTCATAATCCATTCAAACGCCTCCAGCTTTCCGTTCTTGAATATTCATCATCCGTTTGAACGGTTCGAACTATCCGTTCAAGAAAATTCATCAACCGTTCACTTGGCACTTTGGCAATGATGGTCGAAACATTTTTCAGTGTGATCGCAATCCATATCTTCTCTCATTGAATTCTCCATTTTGTGATTGTATGAAATGGCGGTAATTGACGCAATTTGTTAGCAGTTACCAAGGCAACAAATTTTTGATGGAATGAAAGGGAAGCTGGGATTATAGAAATTTAAACCCGGATTGAAGTTGAGAACTATCAAATTGTATGCATTTTGCGCGCAAGTTCCTTGGTTGTACCTTATCTTAATCGGTCGAATTCAATAATAAAAATATCAATTATAATCCATTTGAATGCGCCGAAAGTGAAGTCGAGTTATTCAAATGATTGAGTTTCGACTCGTTTAAGTGATCTGTTCACAGATTGTGTCAAATACCTCGCGTAACTTAACACCGCATCACCCAATGCGTGACGCTTTCATGAAATAATCCTTTGCTTTGGCTCAAGACGAGAGCTTGGGACGCCTGTGTCGGCATTCGTTTTGACGAAAACATCTGTTCAAATAATTTCTACAGGCAATCACTTGTTGGACCGCTTAGCCGTTCCTCCATTCAATCTCATCTGTGAGGCTCATCTCAGTGTTCGAAAAATTAGCCATTCATCAGTTCGAAAATTTTAATTAGCCATTCATCCGTTGGACCTTATCTGATTGAAAATTTTAATTAGTTGTTTATCTGTTTGACCTCATCCATTTGAAAAATTTAATTAGCCATTCATCCGTTCGACCTCGTCCTTTTGAAAATTTTCTCTAGCCGTTCGTCCATTTGACCTCATCCGTTCAAAAATTTTAATTAGCCGTTCATCCACTCACAGTATCCGTTTTGAACGGCTTTCCTAGCTGTTCGTCACCCGTTCGCTTGCCATTCCGTTCACTGTTTGAACGGCTACCATTAGGAACGTTTTCGTGTGAGAGGTCACATTTTATCAGAATTGAGTTATGTGCCAGAGTACATGATCCTAACCTTTTTAGCATAGTCAATCAAAGTCTGTGGCTGTCCAATCATACGGTCTACATCTGGAAAACATAATTATTATTGGTGATATTTAACAAGAACTGGAAAATTTTTTTACTGTCAGCAGCAACTACACTGTGACTGGTGCGAGTCAAAAAATGTTTTGTTACTTCAGTCTTTGGAGCAGCTGAATAACACAAGCTACGTAACCAATTCACAGCAGTTTAACATGGTCTGTACTTCTATCAATAGTGACATTCATCATCCCAGGAGCCAAAATAATGTGGATTCCTGAGGCTCAGCCAAGTGCATCTGCAACAATTTTGACCGCCGTGATGACAAATATTGTTGTTGATAAGAGTACAGACCACACTAAACCACCGATTTACTGCGGATTTGTTTTTTACCACAACACTGATGTCAAATAAAATGATTCTTTCAGTGCATAACACATTGCTTGACATGTTGATATGAGCAGCCTTGTCTGTACTCTTATTGACAACAGCAAATTGGTCAATCAGACTACAACATTGGTGGCAATTGTGGTAAAAATAATTATTACACGACTCGGGCAGTCAGAAGGCCAATAACTAAAATCAACCAATCAAAATGCTCTATTGCCGGTCAATATTCTCTAAGTATTGGACCGGGCACTGTCCTGAATGGTCCCAAATGACACCGCTCTTGTGTCCCTTTGAACTTCAGTCGTATAATAAATCTCTTATTAAGCTTGCTTCCATACTGGAAGAATATCGGCCCTCGGTCTTTTTTGTACGGGCCTCGCTGCGCTCAGTCCGTACTGGCAAGACCTCGGGCCGATATTCTCCCAGCACGGCCCTTGCGCTTGGTTAATAAGATATATATATTGTCATGGTTAACCTCTTAACTCCCGGGAGCAACCAAGACAGAATTTCTCCTTACAGTTTCACTAAAATATCAAGCAGTCCAATGATAAGAATACAGAAAAACGTTCATTAATCAACTAAACATTTGATCCAACACCGAGTTCCCAAAACAAACCTTGTAAGAAATGTATGGCAGACAGGAGGGAGAATTTCCACTGAGATATTGAGAGTGAAATCGTTAAAACACTCACTCAAATCTTCATAAAATTGCTTTGATTGAGTTTTGTAAAATCAAAACCAATTGAAGATATAAAAAAAGCAGCCCATCTCTTACCATAAACATAATCTCTTGCTTTCCGCAAATTGTCCGCAACCTCTTCTCGCTGTTCAAGAATAACGGTCAAAAAAATAGTTATCATAAACTTTGATGGATTTTAAAGGAGCATCTCACCCATAAGATAAATAATGCAAGATAATTTTTTTGTTGACTTGTAACATGGTCTTACACAACTCATCAATTTATACAATAACTAATAAAATTTGAACTGTGTATGAAAAATGTAATCGTGGTGGGTGGGTTAGAACCTATGCTGCAATCCATAACAACAGTAACATTATAAAACAATATCAAGAAAAGGATTAATGAATGGGTGTTCTCACAATATGGTGAGAATTTTTCTACCATATAATATGGGTCAATTTTTGAGGTCACCAGAACCTGGTCATTTTAGAAGGTCAGTCAGATAATGTAGATTTTGCTCAGAATTAAGAAAATTTTGGAATAAAGATAAGTCTTGAGGACACAATAATTACAGTGATAATGATTACACATGTAGTAATCAGCATGGTGAAGGTAACCATAATAATAATAATAATAATAATAATATAATTATAATTAAAATAACAATAAATATTTCAAGAGAGAGCCCACAGCCAAGGCAGCTTTAAATATCACAAAAATACTGGTGACTACAACAGTAAACAACCATCATACCATCTTCTCTAGAATCTTTTCCCCATTGTGATTTAATTCAACTTCTTTGATCAGTGATTGCTCTCTGCAACCAAACACATGCCGGGTCTTAAGAGCTAAGCCAATTCTTAAAATTTGGCCCTATTTTAACAAGTTTGTTCTTTTTTAAAATCTGTGTCAGTCTTGTCCTTCATAACTGAGTATTGCTTCTTGTCAACCTAGTATTAATAATAACTTAACTGTTATCTCATGATGCTTTTCTATTTTGCAATTAACTTTTTACACCCTAACATCAGTGTGCATCTTCTCCATACTGTTCTCTATAGACATGCTATGGTACTTACAACGAGAATTCACCAATCAATCAAGAGCTTCCCGAGTTTGCGATCATTTCCTTTACTCTCACAATGTTTAAGTTAATGTTTGATTCAGGGGTGATACTGTTGAGGGAAACTGGATGCTTATCGCTCTTGGGAAATAAATGGTTAAACAGTTATACCTACATTTCACTGGCAATTCTATGTAATGAGAAAGTGTAGTGCGATCATATGGGTGAGTGTAGTCCTGAGAAGGACTGTTGTCAGCGGTGGTGACTGATGTTTATACAACCTGTGCAGAAGTCATCATCAGAGTCAAGTGAATAGTTGTCAGTAGAATGTTCTTAGTCCAGTCATAGTTAGTAGAGGTCCAGTTCGTGTAAAATGATTGGTCACTTTTGCTGTGATGTTATTGGCTTTAAGACTCAATTGTAATGACTAAGCTATTTACAAAATGGGTGCATTTGGCTACACAACTGACTGCACTCTGTAATCTGTGGTGATGATACTAAGTGTACCTTGTCTGTAAAGCAGAATATAACATCTGAAAGTGTTCCCTGATGTCATTAATAATTTTATTCTTTTCAGCCTTAACTGCTGGAAGTGCTTTACAAATTATCTGTAAGCGAAGTAACAACAACATAAATCAGGATTTACATCTAATCTTCATAAAATATCCTAGACTTTCAGGGTTCACACTGTTCAAAGACAAAAAATGCTTCCAAGACCTTTTCCAGGATACTTTTGATGTTTTTCATGCCCATAAGATCAAGAATTTGGTTGCAAATAACCTCAACCAATCAATCAGTTACATATTTTGCATTATTCTTTTCTCAGACAAAAAATTGTGAGTCATTTTCCATGACTTTTCTTATTCCGAGGAATTCCAGGTCTGGAAAATGACATCACAAAATTAGAAGACAGTGCGGACATAGACAGTGATCAGATACAATGAATGTATGAAGTTCATATATAGACAGTGATGTCATGAAATATGAAATTCCAGGCCTGAAAAGTGAAACTGTAAAATTTATGACTTTTTGGGCTTGGAAAATGGCAGGATAATCAAAAGATTCCACAACATTCCAGGACTGGAAAACTATATCCTCAAAATCTGTGTTTTTGCAGGTTTTTTGCAACAGTCCAGGCATAACAAACCTGAACTGACTTGTCCAGATGCTTGATTATTGGAGCCACTTCCTCAACTGAAGTCTTGAATTGATCTTGGATTTCTTTAGCCTTTAATCAAACCAAAAAGGTTTCATTTCAGGGATTCAAAACTGTGTTAGCTATACCAAAGGTCTTTTTTTGACGTTCAACTCGAGAAATTACATAATTTTGGCTAGAAATGGAAAAAAAATTACTCACGATTTCATCTAGGGGTACAACAGCATGTGTTTGTCTCTGTCCTGTAACAACACAGTGTGAACACACAGGCTGACCATCATCCTTATCATAAAACTCCAGAGGTCTGTTATTGTGATCAGGACACCCAACAGCTGTCTCAGTTCTAAGATGTGTCGCAAAAAAAAAAGAATCTCAATAATTATGTACAAATCAAGGCCCTAGCCATTCACAAACTCTGTATAAAGTAAAATAATGAGAAATTGCTTACTTTTTCTTTGTAACAGGCAAAGGAACATGTTTCCTCAAAGCAACAGAATATGAATGCACCTAGAAAAAAAAAATCACACCTGATACCTAACCACTCCAACCTTTGTGGGATATATATATATATATATATTAAGGTGTACTGAGTTTTCCCACAAGGCTAATGAATGGTTGAACTGAGTGTTTGTGCATTTTCAACCCTTTTATACCCTAACATCAGTAACTATACTCTCCATAATACTATAATTTGGTTATATCAACTAAGTTGAAATCGTAAATTGGCCACTGTAAAGAGTTAAAAAGCTGCCGTTTCAAAGATGAGCAAGATGAACTTCATATATTTATTCTATCTCATGAGCAATTAAATTAGTATTAATAAATTAATAATTAAAATGAGTAAATTTGTGTTTTTCTCATCACCATGTTCTCACCAATAGTGTAGCTCCACTTTCTGCATATAAACCCACACACAACCCGAAATTCCTCCATTTGCTCTGATGGAGGGGTGATACTTGAAATGTCAGCTTTTTAACTCTTTAAGGTGGCCAATTTACAATTTCAACTTAGCTGACATAACCAAATGACCTTGTTACCCCCACTGATGCAGCACCACAGTTTCTTTAGAAACTTACCCCTTATATTCTCCATACTCTTCTCTATATATTGCCTTTGGTACTAACAAGGAGAATTTGTATAACAATCAAAGCTTCCCAAGTTGGTGATCATTTCCCTTTATTCTCATGATCTTAATGAATGATTCAGCAATATCAATGTAAAGGAAAAATCAGACGCTGGTCACTCTTAGGGTTTAAAGATTAATGAGCTGTTCAAGCAAGATTATAAACATAACTAAAGCAAAGCGCGCACTCTGATTGGTTAATTCAGCATCTACTATTTGTCCATGGGTGCATGCTGCTGACATGGGCAAATGCTAAGACTATTTTTCCGCACGCGCTTGTTTTTTCTGATCACATAAGATTTGTTAAATAAAAGGGAACTCTTGTTCCAATGTATCAATGTTATGTTATAAAACAAATGGTGAAGGCCATAGCGTGTACTATTGAGTTATGGATGCACTTGGGAGGTTTGCTAAGCACTCAAGAAGCTAGAGTCGCACTCGGCTATCGCCTTGTGCGACTCTTACGCTTCTTTCGTGCTTAGCAACCTCCCGCATGCATCCATAACTCAATAGTACACACTATGGCGTTCAACATTAATTTTGTTAAGTAGGAGTTCTAGAACTGTGGATTACACCTGGGTGTGTGTGACATTTTAAAGGATCTGAACCAATCATGTATTGTAACATCATGCTTGCTATTATGTGACCATTCAAACTTGTGGATCAGACCCTGCGATAGACCACTTTCATAAATGGCTGCAGTATAAATATTCTTTTGTTTAAATTTAAATTAGCCCTACTGGCCTCGCTTGAGATAATGTATCCTTTTGAATTTTGTACTGGAGAAGGAGGCCAGTAGGGCTAATTTAAATTTAAACAAAAGAATATTTAAACAGCAGCCATTTATGAAAGTGGTCTTTTATGCCACTGAAGAAAAGGCTGTTTAATTAAGCAGCAGATTTTAACATTTCTTTTGCTTTCTCATTTAATGAATGCCTCAAACTTTCTAGGAAGTGGAGAATGAATGTCAAGATAAAGACAAAAACAACAGACATACTCTCTCAAAACAAGCACTGCAGTACACTGTTTCACACTTGCTGCAACTGCTTGTGGCTGTTGCTCTGGAGCACTCTTCACACTTTACATCTTAAAAAGAAAGAGAACAGAAAATGATATAAACCAAGGGCAATTCTCCATCATATATAAGTAGACTAAAGTGCAAAACAGGATTGGAAAAAAGTTTAATGACAGCCTTTATTCAGTCAATAAATTTTTTACCTCCTACACAGTCATGAAATGCTTACAGTGTAATTCCCTTGTTCAACACATCTGTTTGTAAAATGTATCTATATTTTGTGAGACCTTCCTGGTACTTCAGACTTATTTATTTGCAACCACCACTCACCAGTGTCAAGTTTCATTAGTTCAGCCTTCTTTTCTCGTGCAAACTGATTTATTGCTCTCTGCAAACCAGCTTTTGTCCCAAGCTTTGAGCAACCAGGCTTTTGAACATCACTACAACAACAACAGCAGAAAAAGGGGAAAAAAACCAACAAATAAACAAACTACAGCCCAGAAATTGAATGTTAGTTTCACAATTACATCTAACTATGCATTGAAACATTTCAACCAAAACCCATCCAAACTGGTCAAGTTTTCACATCTTGCCTGTGTGTTTCTGAATGTGAAACACATGTTTTGAAAAATGTAATTTAAGAATTAAAAAATCCTTCACCCAAAATTGTAGCTCAAATTGTGCTCTAAATAAATTTGTAAAAGAAGAGAGCATGAAATTCTGGCGATCAGTAAATCCGAGATGAATATCCAGGCAATCTTTGCAGTAATGAGCACAACTTGAGCAAAAGTGAAAATAAGGCCTGAAAGGCTAAGACATGCATGGACTATGGATGAGAAGAAAGTGGCATTCCTTATACTTACGTGCGATAAGAAGCTCTTTTAGAGTTGGTCATCACTCCTAACAGGTAGATATTAGGTGGAATGGCCCTAACTCCCCTCTCTCCTTCAATTGTTAGTGGTGTGGGGTGTTGACATTCTGAACATAACACCCAGGTCTTTTGTAGTCTGGCCCATTTAGTGATGCAGCCTTCACAAAAAGTGTGGCCACAGTCCAAAAGTAAGGGGATGCGATTTCCAATTGGTTTGGACACATCTGAAGAATAAACTTATGCAATTATCTTTATGTTCATCATTCAAGAAAACTTGTGATCATGTATGATCAATTTGATCATTTGTCTAAAAAAAATGTATTGTTTGAAAAAAAGTAAAAAGAACTTTCATTTTCGTCACAGATTATGCGACAAAATGTCTTAATGTATCCTCTTAAAGCTTTTAAAAGAATGTACTGACATCGATATCATTAACTGCGTGCTCTGTTGATCAGCTGGTATCCAGACGGTGAGAGCACTAACACTGGTCCCAACTCCACCCCTCCCCTTCTCAATTCCAACTTGCACGAAGAGCAACAAATTTTACTCGATAAAAGCGTGTAAGTGTCTAAGTCTACAATTTCTTAAAAAGAAACAGAGAAATGACTCTAATGAAAAGGAGTTTGCTAAGCTGCAAGGGTAAGCCGAGTGCCAAAGACTGCAATCTAATACTACTGCAGCAACAACAGAATAAGTATTTTTCAAAATAACATCAAATATATCCGGCTGACAAATGGATATTCAAATAATTTTAACTCATGACTCATTAACTGACTAGATATCAGGATGTTTCTTGAGGTCGATCACAGCTGATGCACGTTTGGAAACTAACCGCAAAGCTCATTATTGACTGCGCGTGAAAGAAGAGTAACTGTTTGTAAATCATTATTTAAAGACACGTACAGAGAATGTGTAATGGCTACCTTTAAAGCCGTAGCTTTTGCAGCAATTCTGGCAAGTCGGTGTACGCTGCATAACAGAGGCGAAAAAGGTAGTTAAGAAATTGTCTCCTTTTATCTTCCTTTGCGCTTGCGAGGCATCAACCCTATCAAAACACATGTTTTGGTCGTTACTTCCGACAACTTCCAAATTAGGACATACCGAACGCATGTGTACGTACGGAGATTTGTGGCGGGAAAAAGAAAGTCATATTTGCGCGCAGACAAGTTGAGAGCTTTGTTGATCACTCGTTCTCTTCCACGGTTCTGTCATTTTTCATACTTGAGCATTTTTCTATAATTCTTAGCCAAAGTATTCAACGATGAAGCTTAATACTCCAGAAATCGCCTGGCACGGAAAAGAACCAATTCTGAGCGTCGATTTTAGCAAAGTAGGATCAAAATGGCGACTTGCTACCGCGGGTGCAGATAACGATGTAAAGGTACTGTAAACTCAGCGCGGATTTATGATCGAGAACTGGGATATCGAAACAATTCCACATCTTCATCCTTTATCCAGTTTATTTCCCAGTATTATCCTAAATGAGCTATTCCGTTCATTGCCGTTATTTTCGAACGCAGATCTGGTCGATCGCATGCGGTGATGGTCAAAAGACAGTTATTGACTTTTTAGCAAATTTGAGTCGCCACACAAAAGCTGTTAACGTGGTGAAGTTTTCTCCGAAAGGTAAGCTTAAATTTTGTGTTACTATTTATTTGTTCTGCTGTTTGGTTTCTTCGAAGCGTTGTGGGTTCCGATTTAAGAGCATCTTATTTCGGGTCTGTCTCGATTGGTAAATAGAGGAAATATTAGATTTTGATCACAAATTTAGTTTCAATCTTTTTCCGTGTTGACATACCTCATCTAATCACAATGAGGGTTGGGAGAATTCAAGAAAGCTATGCAAACCCGAGACACATAACATGCATGTCGCATATCATTGATTTTGTTACTGTATTTCTACATGCAGATGAGATTCTTGCATCAGGAGGAGATGGTAAGTTTGAATTACAAAATAAAAAGAAAACTGCAAAAAAGGGGTTCTTCTGCTAATAAAAACTAGTACCTTCCCAGTGTAGGACAAAAAAATTTAATATCTCAGAGGAAAAACTCTGAGTGTTGAAATATCATTTACAAGAAGTTTTGATGAGATATGGCAATGAATTTTCTCAAGCAGAATAATGAAGTTTTAAATTTTGATGATCATGGTTTCTTTCTCATAGCACCACTTTTATCTTCTTTCGTGGTATGAATGGTGTCCTTCCTTCTTCTTTAAAACATTTACATAATTATTTTGTTCCACTGACAGACTCCATGATTATTTTGTGGAAGCTCAATAACTCAGGCGAGAGGAACACAACTGACATATTCATGGATGCAGATGAAATACCAAACAAGGAATCCTGGACTTTTCACAAGGCTCTGAGGTATGTGTATGAATTACAAGCTGGGTCATTTTCTTCACCTTTTTCAAAATAATGAAGGGAATAATACTGAAAAGTTTCCTGATGATTTGCAAATATTTAATGTATTAAATTTTTATTTTCTGAAATGAAGGGGGCACATTGAGGATATATATGACCTTCAATGGTCACCAGATGGAAACAACATCATTTCAGGATCTGTTGACAATAGTGCTATCATTTGGGATATAGTAAAAGGTATGTGTGTGGTCTTGACAGTTCTAATGAAAAATTTCATCACCTTAATTATGAACCAGTATTAACTCTTTAACCCCAAAGATCTGATTGTTAAATCTGCCCTGTAGCTGCTACACATTTCCTTGAAATTTAATGATGAGAATTCAATGGTAGGTCAAGATAACAAGTTCTACCTGATAAGTTTGAGTATTCTCGTTAACTGTTTGCTGGATAATCTATGGATATGGATATGGATGTAGTGGAAGGACTTTTATCTAATTAAATCAACCCTCTTATAGAAAATCCCTGAGCCTAACTGCTTACATAGAAACATGGATTGGGCTAGACCTTGTGTAAATAACCAGCCTTTTACAGTCAGTGCCTCTATCTATCCAGGAGCATAACGTGGGCACCAGTGAACTATCAGGGAGGTCTGATGAAATTGTGGGGAGTAACCTTGCAAAAAGCTGGAATCCCATCCAGGGGGGAGTGGGAAGTAGTATTATCCCTAATTGCCTCATGCTGTGTAAAGCAGGATAAGCTCTGGCTGCATGGGGCATTAGTGTTTTTCCAGAAAATATCCTTGTGTCCTCCCCTTTCTATCCCTCTGCAAATTCCAGTTTTGATCAATACTTTATCCCTCCTTTTTTAATTTCCAACCTCTGTCCCTGAGGTGAGTGTGTTTATTTTACAAGAACTGAACAATTTTCAACTTTATCAAATTGAATATGATCTACAGGTCAGAAACTTGTAATCTTGAAGGACCATAAACATTATGTGCAAGGAGTTTGCTGGGATCCCCTTGGCCAATATGTTGTGACAAATTCAAGTGACAGGTAATACTTTTTTTAACTCTGTACACCCCAACATCAGTATGCATATTCTCCACACTGTTCTCTACATATTTCCCAAAGTGCTGACAAGGAGAATTTGTTTATAAATCAAGAGCCTCTTTGGTGGGTGATCATTTTTCTTTATTCTTGTGACCTTAATGAGTGATGCAGGAGTGGTATTGTAGAGAGAAATTAGATCCTGATCACTCCTAGGGGTCAAAGAGTTAACTTACATTACAAATTATTTGGGATACTACGATACAGATACACTTACACTTGTCTATTTATGATGTGATTTAATGCACTTGTAATACTTATAATAAGTCCAGGGTACTGTGTATTTTATGTCACAGGTACTTATCACATTTGCTCAAGTTGCCTCAAGATTATGGTTTTGAAAGGAAAAAATCAAAAACCATTCACAATACTATAAAGTAGCAGCTGTCAGGTTAACAAGCCTTGTCACTTTGGCTCCTGAGCTTTTATTTTGGTTCAGAAATGTAATATGTAAACTAGCCAATTTTTCTTCAGTTGTTCTTGAAACAAAACATAGCTTGGCAAACCAGAACTTTACACTCAAAACAACAATGAATCTGTACACTCCATAGAGCTTATTTCCATCTTTACTTTTATTCTTTCTGCAGAAGTTGCAGGCTTTACAATCCCAACTCTTATCGCTGTTGTTATAACATAACAAAGCTGTTGGTAAATGGATCTCAAAAGCCAACAGAAAATGGAGAGGTATAACCATTCTCACTTTTGATACCTCTTTACACCCTAACATTGAATTCCTTATGAATGAATTAATGAATTCCTTATTTATATTGCACCATTTCTATACAATATTCAAAGGTGCACTCCCCCCCATCAATTTTGATAGACACTACACAAAGACAGACCACTACACCGGGCACTACGTGCCCTACTCTTTTTGAACAGTGTGTGGGCTCTTTAATGTCCCACAAATTCTTTCACATACAAGGGCTTGTGAGACGGGACCTCCATTTATCGTCCCTATCCGAGAAGACTAGAAAGTCTAACCATTTGCAGATATTATTACGAAGGCAGCACTTTCTTCTCAGTTATTTAAAGACCCTGAGTGTTGGTCTGGCCGGATTTGAACTCACGACCTCCCGCACAACAGTCCGGTGCTCTACCAATTGAGCTAACCGGGAGGCGGTATGCATATTCTCCATGCTGTTCTTTATTCTTTTCCCAAGTTGGTGATCATTTCCTTTAATCTTGTGACCTCACTGTGTGATTCAGGGGTGATATTCTATTCTTGGGGATCACAGGTTATTCCTAAGTATTTTGATCTCACTGCCCGACATTTAAAGAAAAAACATATTTGCCAGAAAATGTTTCTGTTACTGTTTCTCCCTAGGCATTTAAGCATGGGAAAATGTTTCATGATGAAACCCTGCCCTCATTCTTTCGCCGGCCAAGTTTTTCACCGGATGGATCATTGCTTCTAGTTCCAGGTAAGTGTTTCCTTCAAAACGTGATTACTGTTATGTCACTGGTTGTTGATTGAGATAAAAATAAATAAAATAAATAAATAAATTTTAATTAGTTGTATAGCCCTATTTACATGTACAGATCAATAGTGCTTAAAATCATCTATTAAGTGAGCTATTTGTCACCAAGAGATAGGCTGATCACCAGTCAGATGATCAGATGGAATTTTCCTGTCTGTGTACATTTGCATTTTCCTCTTTTACAACATTTCTTTATTTCCTTCGTTTCCATTCAATTTTCAGCTGGCCGGCTGGAGGTTGGTGATCAGATCATCAACACAACTTATGTTTTTACCCGAGGATCTCCAAACAAGTAAGTGCCTTACCTTTTGGGTAAGAAACAAGGAACACCTTTTATATTTTAACACAGTTTTCCCGTTTTCATCTGGAAAAGTCATTTATTAGGGAAATTGTCTTGACTGTTTCTGAAAATTCTTTATATATTTAGGAATTTTTATTAATATTGTTTCAGACCAGTACTTTATCTGCCAAGTCCTCAAAAGGCCACTGTGGCAGTACGATGTTGCCCTATCCTATTTGAACTAAGACAAGGTACAATGTAGAGAAAACATTTGGGTTGGTTACTTTCATGTGAGGAATAAGTTGGTGTATTTTATACTGTGCCCCAACCGAACAGCTTGTGTAAGCTTTGGGCTTACGTTAAAGTGACAATGATGATGATGATGACCACACTTTTTATCAGTACTGGAAAAACAACTCACTTGGGATGTTGGGAGATCTCTAAAAAAGTTTGTAAGTCACAAGCTAGAGGCAAGTGGTTTGCAAACTTCAATTTTTTATGGGTTTACTGGTGCAATAAATGATAGGTTTTTGACCGATTAGGGCACCTTGAGTATCTCAGTTATTTTATAACAGTAGTAGAAATTTTTCTTGACAATTAACATAAGAACAAATTAGACATGTGCACTAAATTACAAGTCTCTGTCGCTTACATGTGTTTTAAATAATGTGGTGTAACCAAACTCAGACCTGAGGGTAATTTTGGCCGCTATTTTTCAGATTAAAGCCAAGAATTCACTTTGTGTATTTTAAAGAAAACCATGCCCTAGCCACATGTATAACTTTAGTAGTGATGGATGTTATTAATCTTTGTCTCCCAGCTGAAGGTGATGGCAAATCTGCAAAAAGTATCTTCAAGTAGGTTTCCTGTTTTTTTATGTGCAGTACCATAATTAATTTTATTTAAAAATCCTTTACTCGCAAACTGACACTTGATCTGAAATATAACATACCATTTTGTTTGCACTACAGGTTACCTTACCGGATGGTCTTTTCTGTAGCAACAATTGATTCCATTTTATTATACGACACTCAACAAGCAGCACCTTTTGGTTACATAACCAATATTCATTATGCTGCCCTCACTGATCTTACTTGGTATGTACAAGATTGATATACTTTTGGTAATAGCAACCAAGATTCATTCACAAGGCTGGTGATGCCATTCACTGTTTCTCTAGCAATTAAGGGCCATGGGGTGTAGATGCTAACCTTGCATGGCATGGTGGTAGTCCATAGCAATTCAATCCTCAGTCTTTCAGAAGGTTTTAATGGCTTGCTTTCCATTCATACTATAAGGGAAGAGGGTCAATGTGGGTGTCTTGTCAAAGATTTCAGCTAAAGATCCAGCTTCAATCTCTTAACATGGTGTGTATGCCCTCACAAAGAAGTACCTAAGATTAGGATGCATATTCTCCATACTATTCTCTATGCATTTTCTAATGTGCTGAGAAAGAGAATTATTTTAAGGATCAAGAGTTTCAGGGTGATCATTTCCTTCATTCTCATAACCTTAATGTATGATTCAGGGGTGGTATTGTAAGGAGAATTTAGATGCAAGTTACCCTGAGGGTCAAAGGACTAAGATAAACATGCCAATAGATAAACAATGAACTTTTGTCACAAAATTGATTCATTTTTGTGGTATTTTTTGGATTACATATAATTATTCTTAGGTCTATATGTACAGTATACCACTCTTCTTCATTGTTTTTACTTACTTTTAAATGGTATTATTATAAATTAGGTTTTTATGAAGACATGTTATCTCTTTAGGTCCAGTGATGGAAGTATGCTTGTGGCTTCCTCTTCCGATGGCTACTGCACTATTGTCCACTTCAAAGAAGGAGAACTTGGTGTACCTTGCAGCCTCTCAATCAAACAAGTGTTGGAGAGAAGCAACTCACCACTGCTGCAAAGTTCTGATACTTCAGGTACCTTTCACATTAAGCTGATAACCAATAATAAAGTTTAAAAATTAACAAGTTTCAGTTAATTTAATTTAATTTACTCCATTTTCACTGCATTAATGTTTTGCTATGGGGAAGGACTAGAAAGGAACATACGAACCATACGTGCTAGTCCACCCTCTCACCTATCCCACCCCAGGGGAGGACTTCCATCACACAGTAATCTCGTGTGTGGGAAATTAATGTCTCCTAACACCCAACCCTGCAGGAGACGGAACCTCCATTTATTCGTCCCTATCCGAGAAGACTAGAATATCTAACCATTTCTTGATGTTATAGAAAGGTAGCAAATTCTTCTCAATTATTTTAAGACCCTGAGTGTTTGTTCGCTATGAACTGCTGACTCTTCAGCATGTACATCATTTACACTGAGCTTGGATGTATCAAAGTAGAATGCATAAGTAAGTGCTATTGCTACAGAAATCATTCATCTGAAATAAATGGGGCTTTAATGAACAGCAATTGTTTTAGAGCATTATATTTCACATGTGAAATGGCCTAACATTCATTGGACTTTAAAGTAATAAAATGCATAGAAATGTTACTATAGTCTTTGCTATTCCAGGCAAAATGGGCAAAAACTTGCGAGCCTCTTCACCCTCAGAGAAAGAAAAGAATGAGGAAAAGTGTGATAAAATACCCCAGTCTACAAAGAAGGAGCAACTTGGCAAGATTAGCATGTTTACAGTTCCTATGAAGATTACACCAACCAAACCTGCCAGAAAAGGGGCTCCAAAGACAATTTCTTTGGCACCAGCCCCTTCAAAGCCAGGAGCTGCCAATCCAGTTTCTGAAGATTTGAGTATGGCAGCTTCTATCAGTCTGGTACAATCTTCCCTGCCTGCTGCAAACACTGCAGGACTGCAGCAGACTCATGCTGGTCCCAAACATGTGACATTGTCGTCAGCACAAGGGCAGCTAAATGGAAATAATTCAAGTGGTCAGATGACACCAAGGCGTGTTGCTCTGGCACCTGGTGGTCAGATGACACCAAGGCGTGTTGCACTAATGCCAGCAGGAAGCTGCCAACCCAACAAGAGCTCTGCTGAGATCAAACCAACTACTCAGGTAACACCAAGGCATGTTGCTCTGGCACCTGTGGAGGGTGCATCCAAGCCTGAAAACACAGTGACCGAAACAAAGGAAGGAAAGCAAGTTCTGGAACAAGTACTGAAGCACAACACACTGGAGTCCAGCCCTGCTAGTGGAAACATACCCCCAGTTGATGACAGAACTAGGGAAACTCTTCTTATGCATTTGTCCTCTCCATCTCAAACTACACTTGCACCCAGAAGAGTACCCCTTGTGACATTGGCAATTGATCTTGAGAAAGCCTGCACAAAGGAATCATCACAGGCATCCCAACCACCTGGAACATCTTCTATATCAGACCTTAAAACTTTGGTTAACGAAAATGTCACAAACAAATCTACAGAGCCCACTTTAAAACAGTCAGTGTTAGCAAGATGTGATAAAACTTGTACAACTGACCACTCTAAGCCGAGGAGAATAGCACTGACCCCTGTTCCAGCTGTAACCCAGATACCATCCATAACTTCTCCCACAGAGAAGGAAAACAGCACAGTAAACCAACCTCCACAGCCTAGAAGAGTAATGCTTACTACACTTGAACCTCTTGGAGGTGGGAACACTCAGGTTGAACAGCCACAAGGCAGTTTTAAGAAATGCCTGACCAAAAGTAGACATATTCCTTTAGAACCAAAAATCATTGTACTAGATGACTGACATGTAGCTAGAAGTATTAAGTTAAAATATAAAACCTTGTTATCAGTGGTAAATAATGTAAATGAACTTCTCAATGCATCGACAAGATTATGATTGACATTTAGTCAGCCTTTCCTATTTCAAAGGACACTCCATCCCTTTACAAGGATTTCTGTAATGATGGGTTTAACTGCAGAAAATACTTTTTTAATGCTGGACTAGAGTTGTTTTAAAATTTAAATGTAGTGAAATCCTCTGATGGTTAGTCTTTCTCTAAAAACCTTTTTGGATATTAAATTAATGAAAGACAACTTGCAGAGAAAAAAACATAATTCTCTTAATTGGCTGTCTTCTTCAAATCTTGTTTGCATAATAGGAGTGCATCAAGTAGTGTGTGAGGGGAATGAAAAAATGTAAATATTTATATTTTTCATTGAATAAAATATTGCCACAAGAAACAGGATTTCATTACTGAATTTACTGTGTATTGTCAACCCTATCTTTTAATGGTCCCATTACTCGGCAAAGTTGGGAAAATGGTATGCTTGAGGCTAAACGAGTTGAACGAGGAAGCAAAACTAAATAGTTCCGGTATGTTAGTCTAACCAGCTGTGAAATAACTGGTAGAATGTCATGGGCGATTGAATGTCAGTGCATAGTTTCAAAATCCTTGCAGTTTGATTTGCTACCAATGTGACTTAAAAAGTGGAGGATTTGTTCGACCTTTCATTATACCTCTAAAAGCTAAAAACGAGGTTCCACAATTTACAGTATAGACCCAGAAAACTAGGTAAGTAAAACATTTATTTTATCTCTGGGTTCAAATAGAGGGGAAAGATTTCAGTCAAAAAAAACTTAGAACTTAGCGGGCCGTACAATAAAGTACGGCCTGCAAAGTACACCAATCATAGCATACGTTTTTACTAAATTATATAATACATCAAATGCTGTCAGCAGTAAGGTTTTGGTGTGTTAGTTGTATTCAGCTTGTGTATTATCCACTGAAACTGTGCTTCACCTCTGTTGGTTTATTAGTCTCATTCCACACTTGACAATAAATTCTGATGTACTGATTTAGTATTCCATGCAGTGAAAATTGAACAAATTCAACAGCAATTCGTTTAGATATTTTGAAACGGCAGGTGGGGCTTTACCAATCTATTTGGACACTTGTACTGCTTAAAAATATCATCTTTTCATTCTGGCAATTATAGAAATGACAATCAGCAAAAATAACCACCTCTACAGTTTATGTTGAAACAACATGTGTGATTTTCTTCAAACATATATATTTCATACCAACGTTCATGCATTGCAATATTTCCACACACTTTTGGACCCTGTCTGTACTAGTCCGGATAAATTAAAAACCAGGTTTTGTTTTCTCTAGCAAGACACTCTGTACATAAAATGGTGCGAAAACAAGATGACAGGAAAATTTTTTTCCTTATTCGTACGAGAAAATTTGTTTTCAAATCTATCCAGATTAGCAAAGACAAAGCCCTTGTTTGGATAAAAATCTAATTGATTATGGTTAACTTCAGTAACAATGTATATGAGCACGATCCTTCGCAGTAAAGCACTATTTGAGCAATAGTGAAAATCAGACCTGAAAAAAATTTCAGGCCTGTACGGGATTCGAACCACTGACCTCTGCGATACTAGTGCAGCGCTCTACCAATTGAGCTAACAAGCCAACTGGGAGCAGGCCATCAAATTAATTCGACATAAACCCGTAGATGATAAATCAAATTGATTTATGGTTTATTGGTTTATGTCGAATTAATTTGATGGCCTGCTCCCAGTTGGCTTGTTAGCTCAATTGGTAGAGCGCTGCACTAGTATCGCAGAGGTCAGTGGTTCGAATCCCGTACAGGCCTGAAATTTTTTTCAGGTCTGATTTTCACTATTGCTCAAATAGTGCTTTACTGCGAAGGATCGTGCTCATATACATTGTTACTGAAGTTAACCATAATCAATTAGATTTTTATCCAAACAAGGGCTTTGTCTTTGCTAATCTGGATAGATTTGAAAACAAATTTTCTCNTGTTTCATATGTTTGTTGTTGTTTGATTTATCATCTACGGGTTTATGTCGAATTAATTTGATGGCCTGCTCCCAGTTGGCTTGTTAGCTCAATTGGTAGAGCGCTGCACTAGTATCGCAGAGGTCAGTGGTTCGAATCCCGTACAGGCCTGAAATTTTTTTCAGGTCTGATTTTCACTATTGCTCAAATAGTGCTTTACTGCGAAGGATCGTTCTCATATACGTCTCATAACCGCAGTTCACACATATGTTTCATATGTTTGTTGTTGTTTGATTTATCATCTACGGGTTTATGTCGAATTAATTTGATGGCCTGCTCCCAGTTGGCTTGTTAGCTCAATTGGTAGAGCGCTGCACTAGTATCGCAGAGGTCAGTGGTTCGAATCCCGTACAGGCCTGAAATTTTTTTCAGGTCTGATTTTCACTATTGCTCAAATAGTGCTTTACTGCGAAGGATCGTTCTCATATACGTCTCATAACCGCAGTTCACACATATGTTTCATATGTTTGTTGTTGTTTGATTTTTTTCAGTAACAATATAGCTTCTTTTTTAAAATTGCATTTGGAAGAAATAGCCTTGTCTTTGCCTAGCCTTCTTTAAGTTGACAAAGATTATCCGATTCTAACTTATCAATCAAACTTTAGGATAAGTACTGGCGAGTACTCCGATCGTTGTCTGGTCAGTATGACGTACGAGTTCACTGTTGCATAGCAACTGTAAGGGCGAGACTCACCCACACGCTTTGGGACGGATGAGGTTTTGGTCTCAGCAGGTCGAGTAACCGTCCTCAGATGATTCTTGAGCCACAAACCAAATTGCTGCCAAGTCGATAGTACTTGAACAAATTAGTTCAGAACGTTTCCACTAGGACATCAATAGCTCCAATCTGCATGAAGCTTTAACAGCACTGCGGAGGAAAAATGGTACAAATTATGAATATGTGTACTTTAAGAAAACCGCTATTTGAATGATACGTGGCTTAAAAGGTATGAGACATGATCACAGTACTAACTTATTCCTAAATATTGGCTCTGCGACTCTGATAAATCACAAAACTGGTCTTAAGAGAGGAAGAGGCTAGACTGAGACAAGGGGTTCGATATACCAGAAGTTTGTGATACCAAGGGGTGCGAGGTAACAGGGCACAAAGGCTCGAAATAGTAAAGGGTTCAAGATACCCTGGGGCTTGGGGGGGGGGGGGGCTCCAGATAACAAAGAGTTCGAGATACCATGGGGCTAGAAAAACCGAGAGTTCGGAATACTGTGGAGCTCGAGATAACAGAGGGTTCCAAAAACCACAAGGTCCAAGATACGTTTGGCTCTGAGTAACCAAAGACTCGAAGTCCTCATTCTTTTTTTGGGTCAGGCTTTTTACTGACTTTCTGCATATACTAAAATTGTTATTAACCCATGGGGATCAATTAAACACTTTTCATCAAAAGGTCAAATCTCTTTGTTTGAAATATAACTTGTACACGATACCTTTAGAAATCTACCTTGACAAACGAGTGGTCCATCAACTGACTGGCTGTATGTCGTTCATAAGGATCATGCAAAAAACAACAAAGCAGAAAATCCTGTCCCTCTTCACTCAAACTCTCAGGGATAGTAGGCGTGGCTCCTTCACCAACTTTGAACATGATCACAAAGTTGTTATCACAGTCGGGCCATGGAGGCTGTACACAAAAAAAGGTTTGAGGAGAAGTTTTAGCAAATACCTTAGTTGAGAGGTAGAATGTGCGAGTTATACTTGTCTCTTCTAGCTGCTGAATAAATTCTTGGTAATAAAGAGAATTTGGTGTTAGATTAAGATAACACCCTATAGGAGATAAATGGGCCTCTTCTCCTAACCTGTTTGCTGCACAATGTATGAATGAATGAACTTTATTTATCGTCGATAACGTGGGGAGTGGTCACCCAATCTCCCGAGCCAAGGGCTCATGTATAAAACGCTCGACTAAAGGAAATACAAATTAAATATACAATGAATATATGAAGTTCATATTAAAAAAAATATATATGAACTTCATATATTCATTTTATCTGAATTGTCATCACGGGTTTATTACAAATCAACTTAACGGCCTGTTCCCAGTTGGCTTTTTAGCTCAATTGGTAGCTGCTGCACTAGTATCACAGAGGTCAGTGGTTCGAATCCCATACAGGCCTGATTTTTTTCAGGTCTGATTTTCGCTATTGCATGAATAGCGCTCTCTACTGCGAGGATTGTGCATCATACGTACAAATTAAATAATAGATAAATATTGATGTGAGATATAAAAGTTCATTAAACTATATACAATAAAAATTGATATAAAAGTTTAAAAAAAAAAAGAAAAAAAAGCTACAAGATACAGCTCTGACATTGACATGCTTTATACTCTACATTTTTTATTAATGATTTGAAATGCTGGACCGTAGGAGCTGACTTGGTAGACAAAGGCAATTTATTCCACACATGGGCAATAAAGTAAGAAAAAGAATTATGCATAAAACGATTTGGCTTTGTATAAAGTGATCCTCACATTTGAAGGAAACAATCGCTTTATTTTACGCAAGGCCGCTATTTTAGCATAAGCTTTTTTTAGCATAAAATCCACATGAGGCTTATAATTCAGATCCTTGTCCAAGTTTGCCCCAAGAATTTTTATAGTAGGCTCAATGTCAATTATCTGATCCTTCACTGAAAAGCGGTATGTGAACTGAGATTTGCCCAGAGTCATTGCTTGCGTCTTAGCTGCGTTGACTTGAAGATGGTTAGCGGAGAACCATTGTGTCAGTTTTATAACATCATAATTCAGGGTAGATTCAAGTACCACAGGGGACGTGTGGGCTGCGTACTGTGTTGTATAATCTGCATATAGATGGAGTGAGGAGGTGCCGACTGTATAATTACCATCATTAAAAAAAATATTGAAAAAAAGGGGACCTAGTAGGCTGCCTTGAGGAACTCCACACCGAACTGGTAGCCAATCAGAAGAACTTCCATTGCATTTCATTCTTTGGAAATGGAGTTCATAAGGAGAAGTTGCTTATTGATAACCTGGCACCTTTTGGAGTCAAAGTGCTTTTTTGGATCAACAGGGAGTCTCAGTTGGTTAACCATTAGCTGTAAAACGGCCAAAAAATTTCAATAGCCATTAGGTGAAAAATATTGGCAAATTTTAACCGTTCTTTGTTTAAAAAGTTAACCATGTCATTTTGTGTCATTTTGGGTCAATCATTGCCGCAAAATGGCCAAAAGTTTAACCACTAGCCTTAGGAGGCCATCACCCCATGGACACCCTCTCAATACCTACCTTTCCTGTTGCCATCTCAACCACAACACATCCAATGCTCCAGATGTCTGCCGCTCTGCCGTAACCGGCCCCTTTATCCAGCGTTATCACTTCAGGTGCCATGTAAGCTGAAACAAAGTGTTCCATATGACACAATCAGTAGGAAAACTCGTGATTGAAGTTCTAGTATTCTTCCTACAAATCAAGATCTCCAATCACACTCTGAAGTAAATAGCCTTCAAAGCCACCACTCGTATTTTTGAAAATGCCCATAGTGACCATATTTGCCACATGTAGCTTATCTCAAACTAGTACAATAAAGCAAACCCAAAAACATAGAATGCTTTCTGTGAAGTAAATGATTTCTCACTCACCTACAGTTCCTCGTATATTGCAGATCTCTCCATAGATTGTCTGCAGAGGATTCTTCAGCTTAATGGAAGAGCCAAAATCCCCCAACTTGAGAACACCATTAGATGACACAAATATGTTGGCACCTAAAACGATTTTAAAAAATTTGGTATGACATCTCCAGTGGTTGCAGCATGAAGTACTGAAACTCAATCCCCTTGATTCAATATCCTCAAAGGCAGTGTGGGGAAAAATGATTACAGGAGATGCGACACTCTATTCCTTATTTACCGTCTATCTTCAAACATAAATATGTACATGTAACTTGTCAAGGAGACAACAAAATGCTGGAAAAGATGTAACCTGCAGACACCAGTATTCCTTCCAAGAGGAACAGCACTAGTCTTTCTATATTGCCTACCATAATGTGTCAGTTATATTCCAAGATGCTGTGAAACCCACCTTTGACATCTCTGTGCACAATACCCTTTTCGTGCAGCACACTGACGGCAACAAGAATCTGGTAAGTATACACTCTGATCATTGTTTCTGGAAGGTCAAGTTTGGCAATGTCTGATATGGTGCCATCAGCACAATATTCCATGAAGATGAACATCTCATCCTGAAAAAGCACAATTCCTTGCAAACTTAATTGATCTTACTTTCATGGTACTGTTCCTCCCGAGTAGCTAATGCAGCTAACACCAAAAACATTTAACGACACTATTCACAACAATTGATTTTCTAGCATTTTTCAGCCGTTAAACTTGTTTTACCTCTTTTGCCTTACTGTCAGTTCATTGCGTTCACTTTGCTTCCTGTCGCTTTTCGTTCAAGTCATGAATAGTGTAACAACTCTACACTTAATATGAACGAAAATGATAAAACTACAATCATTGAGTCAAAATTAAAATTTGAAAGAAAAACATACGAAACAACCACTGTCTTGCTCTATAAGAAAACAAAAGTACAAACACAAACCCAAGACTTTCAGAACACAAAGCATAGTTATGTAGCGGTATCCTATTGATTTTCCATTCTGTTTAACAAACCAACAGTGGTTTAGCTTGGTCTGAATATTCATCATCACAGTGGTGAAAATGTCGTGGACTCATGAGGCGCACAACAACAACAACAAATTTTGACCATTGTCACAGTGATGACGAATATTGTTGTTGATAAAAGCACAGACCACAGTAAATCACTGTCTACTTGTTTTTTACAACAATATCTACATCCCAAATAGAAAGATTCCTTCAGTGCGTGACATGTTGTTTGACTTATACACGTGAGAAACTTTGTTGGTACTCTTATCGACAACAGCAAATAGGCCAATCAGATTACGACAATACTGCTAATTGTAGTAAAATTTGAGCTTTACCAAAATGCTTCTAAAAGCCACGTGACTGTATAACTTGCGTGGTTGTTTGTGATATAACTCGTCTGACTGGTTCTGACTGTCTGAGAGCATGCACAGCTAGTCACCAACCTAGTCATTTCAAAGTTCGCACATGTGCTGATGTTTGACTGCTGTGTTGACGGGAAAAGGGAACATCTTTGAGTCGAGTCTTGATATATTTTAAACAGTAATCGTTTCTAAGTTGCTTACCCTATGGAGTTCCACACCATAGTACTTCACAAGACTTTCATGTCGTATTCCCTCAAAGTTCTTTATTTCATCAGCTAGATCACGTATTTCACCATGATCATTTGGCTGAAATTTGATCTGTAGCAGAACAAATAAAATGAACCATGTCTTCTGCAGGTTTGATAAAAAAAAAACTTTGGAGATACAGTAACCAGGGGATCACGCTTAGCCTTGAGGAAAAGGTTTGATCTAAGCCACAAAGAAATTCGGAGAGTTGTCAATCATTTTGTCGTGAGCGTAGGACGCTCGTGGCCTAACAAACAATACTTTTCCTTTTCCGATGACCAAGCTAAAAATTTACCATCCTCATTTTTCTCCTTACCGTTTAAAATCATTAATAAAAGTATAGTTCGCTTAAAAATTCTTAGTACCAAACTCTAACCTGTTTCACAGCCATCATTTCACCCGTATCCAAATTAACACAAGCGTACACTTTTCCAAACTGACCTTCACCTACGAGGCAAATTGTGTTTTGAAAACAGTTGGTAAGTCATCTGTTCTACAGAGTAGCCCAATGCCATTGACTCAGTATATTCTTTTGAGTATCCTTCCCACTAAAAAAAGGCTTACCATTGTAAACAGCTGACAATGTCCCTTAATGAAACAAGAAAGCCTGAGAAGTTTAAATAGTAAGCGCACCTATTTTATTTCCTCGCTGCCACTTAAATGGCACTTTTCTGTTGGAAATACATGCCAGCTCCTTGACTATATCACGGCGTCTGTTGCTCACTCGACCAATCACATGCTTTTCACATAGATACTCATTTCTCTTCATTTCCAGTTTCTTCAGAGAGTGACGAACTTTTTCTAACCGGGGTGCATCTGGTGCTGCTACAAAGCTATCCTTATGTTTCACACCATCCCTTTCACCTTCATCAGTATTTTCACCTTCAGCATCGTTCACTAAGCAAAAAAAAAGTCCTCAGAAATGGTGTAACAGCTGGCAAGAATTGTATCAATCGCTCTTCATCTGGATAGAACAATTTTCACTGAGTGTTGAAAGTAATACGGGATCGCTTTGGTTTTGCTTTACTTCCTTCACTCTGTGATTGGTCCAAAAATGCACGCTTTCCTCTCAACCAATCAGATTCAAAACTAAACCAATCGTGCCTTAGTCGACTGCATGTGAGTTAAAACCAACTACATGTGACATTTTTCTTTCCTGTGATTGGCTGCTATACCTTAGTTTTTAGGTTTACTCCACAAGTTATCAACATGCAACCTCGCATTTCAAGATCAATAGGGTATCCGGCAAACAATGTGGGCAAACAAGAGAATATTGCTGTGAAACCAAATACTCTTAACTAATTTAAAAGGAAATGTAATTGACAGAGGGAGAGGGGGAATCATGGAAGTTAAATGGAGAATTCAATGATTGCAAAAGCTTCTAACCAGTGGCATCTGTTGCTAAACTCTGAAACTGTGTCTTAGCCACAGGGTCTGACAACTGCCGTCGCGTAGATTGATTTTCATCAGAATCCGCTGGGTCCCCTTGGAATTTGGACGGCTTTCCTGCCGGCCATGACAGTGGTCTCAGAAGTCCTCCTGTGGAACCACTTCTGCCAAACACTGGGGACGGACAAGCTGGACTCTGAGATCTGTATGCTGAGGAGAAATAACATGGCAGGTATTTTATTTAGTAAAAAAATGTGTCAAAGTATATACCTCGTCAACTAAGAATATACGAATGACGTCATAACTGGAGTTCTGCTTTTAGGCTTGCCTTGATTGCAATCTTTTAGAGAATAATTATTATCAATCAAAGATAATAAATTATTTAATGAATGTGTACCTGCGCTGGTTGCTCCACTGCAGCTTTCTGCACTTCCGATCACATGACAGATGCACCCATTAATGGCCTTTTTCAATTCCTTTCAAGGAAAAAAGTCAGCTGAATTTGAATATTTTCATTTCACAAATTCAACACAACACACAGCAAGGACGACAGATCAGGATGAAGCCTCTTTGATTTTAGGTAAGCTAACAAGATATCTTATGTGCAAGAAGTAAGTGTTTTCAATTCATACCTGGAATGCAGACTCTGATAAAGTTTTTAGTGTCTTGGGATCACATGCTACTGTAAGAAAGTCAAGACCTTGATTGGCCCATCTGTAAAGATAATTAAGTTTGATGTCAAAAAAGTGAATTATTCAATAGATAACATGGCTGTAATGTAAAATGGCCCACTCTGCTATAGAAATGGAAATCAACTTGGATTTTAGACTTTGTTACAAGTAAAATATAACTACAACAAAGCCCCCTTCCCTCCCTTCTTAGCATAAGCATGATTTCCCCTCCCCTCCTTTCTTAGCATAAGCATGATCCCCCTTCCCTCCCTTCTTAGCATAAATATGATCCTCCTTCCCTCTCTTCTTAGCATAAGCATGATCCCCTTCCCCTCCCTTATTAGCATAAACAGGATCCCCTCCCCTCCCTTCTTAGTATAAGCATGATCCCCTCTCCTCCCTTCTTGGCATAAGCATGACCCCCCTCCCTTCTTAGCATAAACATGATTTCTCCCTCCCCTCCATTCTTAGCATAAGCATGATCCCCCTTCCCTCCCTTCTTAGCATAAACATGATCCCCCTTCCCTCTCTTCTTAGCATAAGCATGATCCTAGTTTGCTCACAAAATGAATAAAACTTTCACTGCACTACCATACCTTGGTCGTGTGCCTCTTCCCCTCTCACACTTTGTCATCACAAACTTCATCCATTTCTTGGAAAATTTCAGCATATTTTGTCCAAGAGTGTCCTTTCTCTCCCCAAATACCAATCGTGCCACCTCTTTTTGATACTTGAGAGGAAAAAGAGAATGCAATTTCATAACTTGTCTTAGTTTCAGAGTTAAGGATGGTCTCTTTGAGAGTTCTACAGTCTGTTAGTAATATGAGCTACACAACAATGTATACAGAAATTTTTCTGTGGCTGAAGGAAGCACAGGCTTTAGAAGTCCAGAGCTACCCTACCACCCACAACAACTCCTAATCCCCTGCATCACTCATGGGGCAGAGCTTTCCCACCCACAGTGGACTTATCCACCACAATCAGGCACACAACTAGGGAGCCTTTGTAAAATCCTTGGATATCATCACTAACGATGGAACAATCACACTTTTAGGTAGTTGTTATCTTGATCTGGCACCAAATTCTTGTAGCTAATTTACAAGGAAATGTTTTGCAACTAGAGGTTTTGCAACTAGAGGTTTTGCAACTAGAGGCAACAAGTATCTGTTAGCTAGACTACAGGCAGTTCAGAATGCTGCAGCTCGTGTTGTCACATTGACACCGAGGCATGTTCATATATCTCCTATTTTAATTAATCTTCATTGGTTACCAGTTGAGTTTAGAATAACTTTTAAAGTCCTTTTATTGGTATACAAGGCCCTTCATGGCCTTGCACCTTCCTATATTTCTGACCTTTTGAATTTTAAAACATACTCTAGGTCATTGCGTTCTTCATGTAAAGAATATTTAGTGGTTCCAAGAAGNAGCTCCGTCTCCTGCAGGGTTAGGGGTAGGAGACATTAATTTTCCACGCACGAGATTACTGTGTGGTGGATGTCCTCCCCTGGGTTGGGATGGGCGGGAAGGTGAGATCATTACATGGACTGAAGCAGCTGCCAGAGGCGCCTGATAATGCTGACGTCCGATCTCAACCTTATCATTGTAACTAGACACGTTTGTTGTCTAGAGTGCTTAAGCCTTTCTCTCTTTCAATGTCATTCAGTTCTCTTTCACTATTATGAAACCTTTGTTGGCCAAGGGTTTTTATTATGGCAGATAGTTGTTAGGTAGTAAATCTGTTAAAGTTTTTTGTGGCATGCACAACGTAATCTAAGGAGCATATTTCCCATTGCTTGCTCTGTTGTAATATTTTGATGCTTTGTTAAAAAAAGGGTCAGGCTGTGTGGTTTAGGTTGACATGGATGGCTCCCAATTGTGTGGGAGAAGGTGTCTTTGTTTTCTTTTCTGATGATACTTCATGTCACTTGTGGCAACTGCAGGTACAATCAGTGGATCAATTGGATGTATTGCAGATTGCAGAGGGAGAACCCCTCAAGTCCTACCTGCAATTCATCAAGTGCTTCAGCAATAGCTTGATGACTGGATGTCCTTTGCTTGACAGCGCTGACAGCAAGACTCATGCTGTCAAGAAATACTTTGCGCTGATCATCCAGCTCTTTAGAGTTCTGTACAACCAAAATCATGCCCCCAACCTGAAAGGAAAAAAGTTCAGGGCTAAGGGATATTGTTTTTATTAACTCAGGAAGATGATTCAACTGAATCTAATACCAGGTATCAAATCTACCAATGGATGCAAGCAATAACTCGTGTGGATAAATGGGAAATGGTAATGAGAATTTAGCAATAAACACTCCACTAGGTGGCTCTTCTTGTCCCCTGTTTTTGGGTTGAATTGGAATTGGAATGTTAGTTTTTTGGAGATAGGAAAACCAGAGGACCCAGAGAAAAGCCCTTGCAGCAAAGGAAAGAACCAACAACAAACTTGACCCACATGTGATGTCAGGTCTGGGAATCAAACCTGTGCCAGAGGTGGGAGGGAAGCACTCACACTACTTCACAATCACTGCTCTCCCAAAATGGATGTGCAGGATAGTTTCACAAAATGAAATTTGAGTTCTTGGGAATAAATGGAAAAATGGCAATATTGCATGGCAAACTATACCAGTGACCTCACTATCAATTTTGCAGGTTTAAGCGACTTCTCAAGTTTTGATACTCCAACAACCAAGGGAAGATGGGCAAGTTTTCATGGCTGGTGCTAGACTACAATAACTGTCCATGAACCTTTTCACTTCTGAGATCTCATTAGTAATTCTCCTTAGTGTATGCTGTGTAATTCTTATGAAGTGAGTTTGGAGAGTTTGGTATTTGATCAACTAATACTCCTCCTAAGTGATATTTTTCTTCATTCCCATCACTCCTCTATTTTATATTGTAGTAAATGTAAGAAGCAAACTTCTTACAGCTTTCTACATGATTGCCTAATTGGCAACTTGCACAAAAATTTTGTTGTGAAATTATTTTCTGCATGCATTGGTGTCCCAAACCATTGCAGCCTGCAATGCAGAGGGATAGCTGAAGAGCAGAGGCTAACAACTGACCTGTATGTCAGCTAAACTGATGGCAGTATCCATGGTTGGGCTCACCACAACCTTCTTGCCATTCCATGTTACAGGCACGTCATTTCCATTCTCTGGGGCACATGGTGGCAAAATCAGGAGATATCCAGAAACATCAGAAACAACTTGATCACCATATTCTTCATGAACACAGCAAGAATTCAACAGGTGGATAATTTGACTGTGGTAACATTGAAACAAAAATGAAGACATCAAACCAGAGCAAAAATATGAAACATCAACCCTCTTCTACCTTTTCATAGGCCCATCTATTTGCGAACTCTACCAAGAAGTGTTTCTTTTACACTCTCCCTGCTCAAAGGCTCATCAACCAGAACAACAGCACAGTAGCCCCTCATCATTAGTGAACCCTGTACACCCTAACATCAGTATCTATATTCTCCATACTGTTCTCTATACATTTTTTAGAATACTGACAAGGAGAATTTGTTTAACAAGCAGGAGCTTCCTTAATTTATGTGTTAGTGATCATTTGATTTTTTCTCATGACATTAATATGTGATACAGGGGTGATATCATTATGAGAAATTAGCAGCTAATCACCCTTAGGGGACCAAAGGTTAATGTTTGACTGTACTAACCATTTTCTCTTCACCATTGTTTTTGGCACAAACAGAAAAAGTCCAGCCATGTGTCTTGCTACAACCTAAAATTATATAATTATGTATTTACATTGAAATTCGACTGTAACGAGAAATTACCTCGCATGTACAAATAGTTAATGTAAAGACTTCCTTGGCATTTAATTGTCAGGATTCTAAGTATACAATAATCGTTTTATTAAAAACGTTAAATTAAATTATTAAATTTTATTAAATTTTCAGCTCCATTTTAATTTTAAGCTGATGCGTATGCTTACTATATTATTTTGTAGATTATGGTATATTGGCTCATATATCATAATGGCTAAGCCAATAAAAAGTCTTAAATTGCATTATCAAATGATCCAGTTATTAATAATGAGAATTAGCTTGAATTGAACTTAAAAATTCTCTGAGACGCTTCAGTGAACTTTGCTAAATGCATACTTCCAAAAGCTTTATCTTCTGTGCAAACTTAACACTCAACTTAACCGTCTCATCAACAACAAAAAAAAGGATAATTAACATGAAAAATTATTGTTCTAAAACTGCACCAATATAAAAGTAAGGCTATATGCAATATGACAACACAATCTATGGACACAACAGTAAAGGCTATTATTTCATTACCTGTACATGTCCACTAGCTTCTAGTCTCATCAAAAGCTCATTCATAGGAACATCAATGGTAAACTTTGCAGCATTTTCAAGGTCATTCTGGAGTTTCTTAGTGAAGCCAAGGGCTTTAGAAGCCCTTTCTCTTGCTTCATTAAACAAATGTTTAAAACCTCTACAAGCCTCTAGCACTTTCCTCCTGTAAAGACAACAATCTTGCAACATTTTTTATTATAAAAAATTGTGGCACACAGGCTAAGTGCATTACTTAGTCAGAGCTCACTGCACTTTTAGCAGCAATAATCTACTGGATAAAGTATAATAATTACTGTTTCCCCTGAGTAACAAGCCAGACCATTACAATTTAACAACAGAATCTAACTTAAGTGACTTCCTGATCACAACTATTTTTGATAAAGGACTTGCAAAATAATTAACTAATGGTTTTTGCTAATTTTAATCAGTAATTCTGTAAGTTCCAGTTGTTTCACGCACAAGCCCCACTGACACTCAGTTGTATATTCCTACTGATTTTCACTGATTGTTTTGTAAAATTTAGTTGTTACTTTTAAACCATCAGTATTCCAACTCAATTTACTGCACCTGAGATCCTCACTGTGATCAGTGTTGTTGTGAAGATCCGAGCAGCTCTGATCCAGTTCAGACTCCAAAAAGTCACCAGTTGACTCAAGCAGTCCTGAGGCCATGACACTGAAAAGAGAAAAAAAAGAACGAACAGAATGAAAAGTAAAGAATCATTCAGAATTCCCACAATAAACAACTAATCAAGCTAAGATCTACTGCTTACTCCCTAAGGGGCACGAATATTTTATCACTTCCTAAGCCTTTTACAACCACATATGGTCTAAATTCTTTTAGCTATTCATTTGTTAAGTATTGGAACTCCCTCCCTGACCACTTTAGAAAGACTGTAGACTATAGCGAATTTAAGAGCAAACTGTCAGAGCACAATTTCTTTTAATATTACATTTATATCACATATTATTATATTAACAATTATTATATTATTATATTATGAATTATTTTTATCTTTTAACCTGTTCTTGCTGTAATTTTAAAGTAGTAATTAGGATCGGAGATACTAGCTTATAAGCTAATCTAAAATCCGAGGAGAAATAAAGTTTATGTATGTATGTATGTATGTATGTATGTATGTATGTATGTATGTATGTATGTATGTATGTATGTATGTATGTATGTATGTATGTATGTATGTATGTATGTATGTATGTATGTATGTATGTATGTATGTACAATCAGAATGATATCACAAAGAACACTAATACTGAGTTATAGTGTTAATTATGAAATTCTGGTGGAACTCTTCCTTTAACTCACTGATGCATTCATTCAGGTAAAAGAAATTTTAAAACTGGTAGAGCAATCCTTTTACCTATCAAATTTTCAAGAATTTCAAGCAAGTTTTGGTGGTAATGAGAAGTTCTACAGGTGGTAAGTTCTACCAGTTACAGCTTTAATAGGGGAACTCTGTAAACCCATCGCATGACCTACAGTAGCTAGCCAACAAATCCACTAACTCAATGGTAGAGCAGAAAAACTCAACACCTAAACTGACTGGGGTTCAAATCATCATTTTCTTTGGCCCATGCACACTCTTGAAAGGTTTTTTTTTGCATCTTCCCCTGTTGTTGACTCGTCACTTTTACAAACTAAGAAGTTCTTTGCTTTACACAACAATGTAACACAAAGGGAACTTATAGCACTGAATAACAAAGACACATAAGCTGTGCATTTTTTCGTCCATGCACTCATAAAAATTATATATGTGCGTCTGACTACCCTGTGTCTGAGTGTATGAAATGCCTCTTCGCAGACAACTTATATCTGAGTGGTGCTGTACATACTTTTTGTTTTGCATTAAATTACTATTACAATGAATATATGAAGTTCATATATTTTGAACTGTGGTATTAAATACGTATGATGCACGATCCTTCGCAGTAGATAGCGCTATTTATGCTATAGCGAAAATCAGACCTGAAAAAAAATCAGGCCTGTATGGGATTCGAACCACTCACCTACTTAACGGCCTGCTCCCAGTTGGCTTGTTAGCTCAATTGGTAGAGCGCTGCACTAGTATCGCAGAGGTCAGTGGTTCAAATCCCATACAGGCCGGATTTTTTTCAGATCTGATTTTCTCTATTGCATAAATAGCGCTATCTACTGCAAAGGATCATGCATCATACGTAAATTACTATTAGTGCTACGCTGACTTGTAAATTCCCTTATTACCAAAATCTCGTTCCTCCTTCTACTTCTCCTCCTCTAATATGGCGGCAATGTTTCTTAACAAAGCTCCACTCTTCTTCAAGAATGTTCTTTAGTCCTTTGGATGCCTGAGGAAGCCTCTGGACCAAATGGATGACATTGTGCAAGTACTCAAAATATACCTATTTGAAAAAGGTACAAAGAACAGCTAAATAAAGGCAGGAAAACATAAATAACATACCTCTCTCTCTCTCTCCCTGACAGTTTCTCTACCATACTTAATGATCACATGTTACTAATCAAGTATTAAGATGTTTGTACCCTCAGTAAAGTGGATACACATTGACATGTTTTTGTTTCTAGACTGAGCAGAGGCTGTGCCGTTTCCCAGGCTCACTCTCTGTGTTTTCCACCCGTTAAACAGTTGTATATTAGAACTTAAGAGGAAATGGTGCATCACAATGTATTTGGTAGACTTTATCAAAGAACTTTTTATGTGAGCCTGGTACCTGGGCTCACATTAGCAGGAAAAATGTCCTTCTCCCATTCATATACAATAGGAAATTTCAGCTCAGTCAAATACTACTTACAGAAATTTCATTTTTTAGCTATATGACTGAGTAAAACAAGGAGTAATCTTCCAAGTTTTATTCTGATAAGCAAGCTCTAGTGCTCATATGGAAAATTTTCCCACCTTCATTTTGTAGTTTCTTATACAATTAGATCAATTTTGACAATTAAAAAGTATAACGTTGTAAGCTTAGTCAAACAAGCTCACACAAGGTGGCTCTCAAAAAATGGAGGCACCTGTACATGTAAAGGACTAGTACCCACCCAGAAACAAAGGCACGAGTAACATCTGGTCAAATTTTATAAAACAGAAAAAGGTCTAGTTCCGTCAAATTAATCTTTAGTTAGCCTGCACACAGCCTTATAACTTACATAATCATCATGATACATGTTTCACAATGAACTCAAATTAAATTCCACATTGAGATAGAATAGTAACCACAAATTACCTGTAACAAACTCTGAAGATCCTGCTCAAAGCCTTCAATGTCACTCTCTGTGTTTTCCTTGCTTACATCTTCTGAGTTTGAAATTCCACTCACAAGATCCAGGTAATAATCTTTCACCAGAACACCACCTAACAGCACATCTTTACATTCCCGCAGAAGCTGTGTATCAATGCAAATTTATAAAAAGAAATGTGATGGCGAGTACAAAAAATTCACTGCATGCTATGGCTCAGTAAATTTCTTTTTTTATAAATAAAATTATCCTCTAACAGTTGACATTCTGTAGGGGGTAAAAATCAAATAAACAAGAAGTATGGATAGAAAAACCAAATCAAATTTTGGAGAGGTATTGAATGATGTTCCTTCAGACAAATAAATGTTATACCAATAGGAAATTCAATCAAGACCTAATGTTGGAGACTTCGTAATTTGAGTAGAACAGAGGTTTAGTTTCTTAATTAACACCATCGATTGAAGTAACCTTGAATGAACTTTCATTGATTATCACTTAGCAATGACTAATGGGAGATCAGATTAGTCCTTCTATTATGCGATATCTCGGTATATAACACTAGGGCCCCACCTTTTTAGGGAAGTAGTTTTACACACCCATTGTAAGATGAATTCGAGAGACATTGATTAAATGCTTAGTTTTTAACTCAGTCGAGTCTACTGATTGAGAGTATTGATAGGTCACAACCCCTTGTAAACGGGGCAGAGTTTACGAAACCAACCAGTACTAAACCCATCCCCCTCTCCCCCCCCCCCAAAAAAGAGCACAAGCACAGCTTTCCTATCCCTATTCCCCCTGTCTTAACCCTTTCACTTCCAAAAGTGATTAAAATGTACCTTCTTTCTATACAATATCTACACATTATCCAGCAAACAGGTAACAAGAATACTTGAACTCATCAGGTTGAAGTTCCTATCTTGATCTAACACCAAATTCTCACAATTAACTTAGGGGCTATTCCACATGAGACATGAAAATTGACAGATTTTCAAATTCAAAATATGAGAGCCAAACTTACTTTTAATGAAAGCTTATACATAGTTCTATAAGAATCCAAATCTAGATTGGCAGTAGTGGACACGCCCAGGTTGTGTGATGCCATTGTTTTTTAGGGTTTTTATTGACCAAATAAGCCATTTTACATACCAATATCTAAATTGCTATATCTCAAAGAAATTGATCGCCATGAATCAGATTTTGAGATCTTAACTACCCACTAGGATGAGCCTTTCAATGCAAAAAGAAAAAAATTCTCAAACATTTAATGTCTCAGACGTACAAAGACTTAAAAAGTGTTGCGGACGTGACCTTCAGGGTATGATTCAGAGCAACATTTATTTAATTTCTATGTAGGTTCTCAACTGTTTCAGGTCTTATTTATGTTGCTCTTATTGTTAAGTATTATGATAATTTTGACACCCCAGCTTGCTCAAATTTGTCAACTATTTAAGAGATATTGGGTTGCGGACGTGACCGTTGCGGACATGACACATTTGTAAAAACCCAGAAAACCTCATAAAATTTTCAAACATGAGAAGATATGTTGATATTTAATGACAGCAAATGATAATTATAGACATATTATGATATATGTAAAGCTATCACTTTTTTACAATTTTCCAAAAATACATAAATGCCCTTTGACCTACAAAATGACCTAGATCATCAAAGTTTTTATATTTTATTTGTTATTTATTTCCCAATTTACAGATAAAAGCAATAAAAACAGCATTTTTACTTCAGTGGCATTACTCTGAACGTTATTAGTGGTGAATGAAAAGCTCTTTCTTGAACATCCCCAAAATGTCACCTCCGCAACAAATTTTGGTCATGTCCACAACACAACATCTTTATTCTTTATATATACTATTTGTTATTTATTTCCCNCCATGGTAACAAGTAATTTCTATAATATCTTTTCAGATTTATGAAGCACAGTTACTATTGCATTTAGTTAGTATATGCAGTTTTTTTAAAAGGTTTTCAATTCACAGGAAATTTGAAGTAACCAAAAGCAATTCAAATCAATGGTTGTTTTAGGAGTCACATCCGCAACACACTTTGAAAAATTATTTTCTCTGGATCTCTACGAGATAGTCAAAATGTTTTCTGGCAAAATAAAAGGTACTTCACGGGTAATTTTATGACATGACTAATTTCAATTCAAATAGAGTGGATCTGGCTTTAGGAGACATTTAATACCCAAATTTTGCCTCTAAATGTCACGTCCGCAACGTGGAATTGACCTTACAAGGAAATGTATAGCAGCTAAAGGTGAGAAATAACAATCAGATGTTGGGAGTTAAACAGATAATTGGATATAGTAAAAGATCAGCTATGATTATAAATTATGTTTACATGCCCTACCTACCTACAGATTACATATTAAACCTTTAACCCCTACAAGGAACTATCATCTAATTTCTCCTTACAGTATTCCCACTGAATCAAACATTAAGGTTATGAGAAGAAAGGAAATGATCATCAGCTTAAGAAGTCCTTGATTGTTACACGTACAGTGTATCCTCCTTTATTATCCAACTACACCTAGACGAGTACAAATAACGCCATAGACAAGTACAAATATCACGCGGTATTTGAAACTCGTCTATTGTAGTACTGGTTAAACAGGATTTCTCGCATTGTGCAAGCAAAGAATTGGATTGTAGTTACCAATAAAAAAAAGCAAGTGGCGGACAATTTGAATCATATTTCCAACGATGAAGAGTCAAAATTGCTGGCAAATATAGGGCCAAGTTCATTAGATGAATCAAACGAAGACAAACAGCTTGACAACCACAAAATTTCTTCATTAATGAAGAAAATAGAAACAGCAACACAACAACGCGCCAATTCCGTTCCTCTTCGCATACTTCTGTCATGCACTAAATAAAATCTGCGAAATTCGCCCGCACTGAAATAACAGTTTGGCGTGTTGGATAATAAATAACTTATTAGACATTTTGTTGTGTAGTACCGCTGAGTATTTTTACTCATCATTTGTATTTTGACGAGCCGTAAGGGCTCGTCAAAATATGGTACAACTTGTAAAAATACTCAGTGATACTACACAACAAAATGTCTAATAAGATATATTTATCTTCATTATCTTGGAAACTTGGACAAGTATAGAGAGAATAGTTTGGAGAATAAATTATGCACAATGTTATAGAGAAAGATGTTTTTCGTCTTGTCACGAGTGTGGGACAAGGAAAAATTGAGTCGCCATGAGGAATGGAACGTCGGACCTTTGGATTCCGTGCTCCGATGTTCTACCACAGAGCCTTAGAGACTCTATGGTGAGCAAGGCCCATTTACAAAGTTCATGTATGACACATGTCTTGCATACTGCTAAGATCGACAACATTGAAGTGTCATGGTTTGTCATGACCAGATGAAAAACATATTTCTATATTTCTTTACCAAACAAAAAACTTACCATCTGTCTTAAGTTTTAAGCACAATGCTATTAGGATATAAAGCCTTTATATAATATCTATCTATGTGTCTCACCTGTCTTACACTCAATGATGAAGGCTCCCCCTTAGGCCGATGCTGCAACCTCAGACGCAAACATTCATGGATGATGTCTAGTGGAACTCGTGACAGAAACAGGTACAATGATCGGAAAGAGGGCAAACCAGTTTCTTTAATGAACTCCTCCACCCAAATCCCTTGATCAAAATTCTCATTCCCACAGTACATTGCTCTTCTGTGAGGATGACAGCTACAGCGGAAGAGTTGAATTGGTTCTTCTTTTCCATTAATAAGTGCATCCAAATTATTGACAGACCACTTCCTATGCTCCAATTTAACAGGGTTACTGCACTGGCATTCGTTGTCCTGGCATTTGTTGCTCGGAAGCACCAAGGCTTGTCTAGCCTTCATCATACTTGTGTCCAGAATGTCTCCCAGTCTCTTTCCAAGTTTTATCAACCCCATCTTCTTGATGCTGTGGTCAACAAATGGTCTGTATCTTGATGTTGAACTCCACTTGAAGTTGGACAAGTTGCTGCTTGTTCTTGACAGCCGTGTAGGTGTGCTTGTGCTTGCCTGACTTTCAGATGTCATTGTTCTAATTGGGGATGAAGGAAGAGTACCTGATAATCCTCCATTTCCTTGTTCCGTATCATCAGCAGCATCATCATTGCTGTCATCGTTGTCATCTTCCTCCTCCTCCTCCTCCCCCTCCTCCTCCTCATCATCATCATCATCATTGTCGTCGTCAGATAATGAATAATAAGTTTCATTGTCATCAAGATTCAAGTCAGAGGCTGGGCACATATTACCTGTAAAAAGATACTTCTAAATAAGTAAATAAATAAAAATACAAATTAACGTAAACTCCACTGAATTTACTACAATTCACTCACGAGCAGGCAAGGAAAACCTGCTTGCTTAACATCAAGAGAATCAAGGAGATGATTGCCAACATCAGAAGCTTTGATTTTAAACAAATTTTTCTCATCGTTACTAAGGAAAATGTATAGAGAAGAGTTCGGGGAATAAGGATACTAATGTTAGCATCAAGGCTGTGCTCTAAGGAAAATTGAAGGGAGCCCATTGCTCTGAAACTGTGAAACCAGGGTGCCCAGTATATGCTTTGAATGAAAAAAATAAAATTCCTGAGTTGCCCAAGAGCAAAAGTAAGATGCCAGGGACCACCAGGGGCTGCTAGACCACCACCTAGAAGCACATCAAAGGTTAACTTGTTTTTGTATTATTAAGGATTACACACATTCATGTCATGGTTGAATTTTAACTTTGGACCAAATTATAATTTCTTGTGCTTCAAACCCATTGTTGCCCATCAACACATCAAAATAAATGGGAAAAAGCTGAAACTCTGCACAAAATTAAGCTACCATATAAATGTACATACCCAATCTTCCAAGACCAACATCTAACCAATCTTGCCAAACTTTTGTCTCATCTGGATTCACACCAACAAACTTAGCAATTGAATGTAGCTTGTAGTTTAATTCCCTGGTTACATTGAACCACAAACACAATGTTTCAAAGTTCCTTGTGAATTCTTGGCCTGTGTACAGTTGATTTTGCTCTCCAAGGTTCTTGCGAGTGGGATAAAGATGCTCGATCATTTCCAATTTGTCAAAGAGTTCCGTAACTTGATCAATGGCAGCTTTCAGCTGACAGTGTGTTTTATCTGAGAAACATTCCTCTCTTGCCTCATTAAAATAACGTTTTTGGTTTCTATGATTAAAATCTAACGACAGTCTGTTTCTCATAGCTCTATAATCTGGTGCATCTCTGTCACGGACATTCTGAAAGCTATCTGTTTCAGAAGAAAGCTCACTGTTTTCAATTACAGAGTGATTTGTGTCTGATGTCTGATAAAGATTTACTTGATCTACTGTGCAAGAACTGTGCATTGATGGATCTACTAGATATGATGACTGTGTTAAACTAAGCAAATCCTCATTTGTACCACTGATGGTTTCATCACCATTAAGAATGCCAGAATCTCCATTCACATTGTGACTGATTTTTAAATTGTTGTTCTCAGTTTCCTCATTTGAAATCTGACTGTTCCCATCTTGTTTCTTAACTTTAAAATTTATAACCTCATCCAGCACCTCTTTAACATTATCACGAGCTTGAACTAAATACTGATCCTGTTCTTCCATGGTTCGGTTTGCATGCCATGCCTGCAGTTCAAGCCAAAGTGCTTGTGAAAATTCCACTTGCCATTTCTTATTTTCTTCTGAGCTTTGCCTCTCAAGGGCACTGTTATCAACTCCATAATGTCTTTCTTGCTGTTTGTGGGCCAATGAGCCCAGTTTAATCAAAAGAGAAAATGTTCTATAGAACTCCATTCTCGCCTCTGGACAAAAAGGATCGAGTAAATTCCTAGATGTAGAAGAACTATGAGGATCAGATTCTGAGCGAGTTGCCTTCTTGTGCCCTGGAGCATTTCTTCGAGTAATGGCTATGGATTCTGTGACAATGCTGGCGCGCATATTTATACCTGAAGTGTCCGAAGAATCCTCGCAAACACAGTCCAAGGACATGAATGGACTTGAGGTTTCGATCTTGATGCAGGGCACCTCTAAAGATTTTGAGGTGTCTGACGAATGGACACCACTTTCAGCACTGGCAAATCCAACATCAACACTGCCTCGCTTGAGTTGTCTCTGGAAGGCTCGTTCGTTTGTCAGCTGAGTAGAACCTCGCTTTTTCCGTCTGTCCAGCTCTGTTTTTTCCGAAGGATTAGATCCATATTGAAAAGTTAAAGGACTCTTCAGGAAAGACTGCAATTTATCTTTTTCTCTTCTTGATTTCTCTTTACGTCTTCTTATATTTCTCGGCGGAGTCATCCCATATGGAAAATTGTCGGAAAGCTCATTCTCAGATGACAAATCAACAGTCTCTTCGCGCTCAGAGTCAAACTCTGAGCCAGATCCTCTATCATCCGCTGGAAATATTTCAACACCCAAACATCCCTGGTTTTCAAAAAGTTCTGCTGGATCGATTTCGAAGTCGTCACCAGGCGAACCTGAGATTTGTTGTTGCTCATCCGAGACGTCCTCCACCTCCGCCATTTTGTTTGTTGAGTGTAAGGTTGGGTCCCAGTTTCAAACGAGTGTGAGCGGGTATTAGCCCGCAGCTGCGGGTGACGTGTTCTGATCTTTCATGTAGTTCCCTTTTCGTTTATGCTATTTTATTGTTTCTCTTCCTGATTTGAAAACTAAACTCATGGTCACGTAGAGTTGGTTGCATGTTAATGCAGTTCCTATTCATTTCAAGCACTTACCACATCAGTTATTTGTCTGAGAAACAAGGAAAAAAGTCAAAACATTTTTAAACATTTACTGGTAATTGACAGACTTATTCAGATCAGTACCTTTTCCTCTTGAAAGGTCTAATGCACCAATTTCAAAAGCTAATAATTTCCTTTACTCTCTCACCTCTCAGTTTATATGTTTGGTAATTTTATTGTTTTCTTTATCACTTTTGCTTTTTATGCTTTAAATGGTCTGTCAGGTTATGTCTTGATACCATTGCAATATCACTGCAAAACCAATCAATTTTTCTGCATCTTTCAAGAGTGAAAGATGGTATAATGATAATGATCTTCATAAACAATGCATTTATCAGCGACATGGCTTATGAAACAACCCTGATCAAGAGTATAGTTAAACCTGTAAAATTCAATGATGTGCACACAAAAGCTTCTTTCAGCATACATTTTATTTTGTACAGTTTTACTGTAAGTCACAACAATATGTTGTTCTCTGTACAATTAATATTTTAATTATAGTCACGGACTTTTCTGTGTTTATCTACTTGCTTTCATCAAGCTATGAAAATTTTGGAAGATTCTCTCAGAATATAACTCTAAATATCAACTATTCCTTTAACTAATAAATAAACTCTCTTAATGATAAATCTGTAAATTTTATAATACATGTTTGGTATCAATATACAATAATAAAACAATTTAGGTTTCAAATCATGACTTTGCAATACTATTTACATCTTGCATGATACAATGTAGACACTAAATTGCTCGAATTTTTTTCACACTGAGTTTTTTATTTTCTTTAGCATAAAGATCATAGTACGGGCTTCTACCGAGAGTAATAAAAAACATTTTTTACACCAGTCTGGCCCACTAAAAGTACCAAAAAACTGTAAATAAAATTAAAATTAATTTAAAAAATAGAAATATTCGAAAAGCATTAGGAAAGTTCAAGGCCATTAAAAAAGAACGACAACAGCACATTACGCAACCTGAAAAACTCCCAAAAAATTACTTTCAGATTCATGAAAACCTCTTGATTACGAAGGATTATGTTGTCTAGGGGAACAAAAAGGCTATAAAATTTTACGGCTCATTACAAAATCTCACATATAGGATCTCCTTGGAAACTAATACACATTTATCTCTCATTTACATGCAATCTATAAAAAGTGCTCTATACAGGATGAGAGCGCACTTTTACGAGTAATGATCAATATTCCAATTCCAGCTACCGTGTCACGGAAGTCGAAATTTGCTTCAAATGTACCAAAACATATAGAGATTACTTCTCCTTATTACCTGCGTAAGATTTCTTTAGAAAACATTAATTCCTTTGAGAATTGACTACAAAATCACTAATTTCGTTCACGAATGGAATCTGCGTAAATCTTTTGTATTGGAGCGTAAATGAGATTTGCAAAATTTTGCAAATTTATGCAAATACGTCGTCGTGACAGCACCACAAAATACAACAACATACGTACACGGAATTTCAACACGAAACCGGTCAACAATTTGACCTTTAGATTCTCTTAACACATCCGGTAGAGAAAAAGTGAAATTTTCATTTTAGCTGATACGAAATTATTCCGAGAAATAAAATTTAAAAAATAATTCTGTCGTGGCAAATGCAAAGCGTCAATTCTACAACCTTTGTTGCCTACCTACGTGCAAACTAACAAGGACCTACGTGCACTAGTGTACAGTTCGACATGTGTTGAACCAGAATGTCACATGGTTTTCATATCATCCACAATTTTTAAAACTTCCCCTGCAGTAGGTCTGCCAAGTGGGCTTGCATGCCATAACAACTTCATGAGTTCAATATAGGCCGGCGTGTCTGAATCGGTTGACGCAAATGCCGGCAAATTTACAAGTGACGGTCGTAAGTGATGCGCAACAACTCCGAAAATAACAACAAAGTGACTTTCTAGTCCATAGGGATGTTCCCGGAAAAGCATCTGCCATAAGCAAATGCCAAGTGAGTACATGTCAGCTTTTCCGCTGGGAAGTTCGCCTTTTAACAACTCTGGTGCCCTGTACGCGAATGTTCCAGTTAGTAAGCTTCTCGGACTCGGTGCAGGGCTCGGAGGAAGCAAAGCTTCGTCCTTAGCAGTTATCCCAATACTCTGACAACATCCAAAATCACCGAGTTTGCAGAGATCTTGACGATCAACAATAACATTTGCAGGTTTTAAGTCCAAATGTACAAGACCATTCTCGTGGACGAATTTTAACGCACAGGCAATGTCACGAACATAGTTCCATCGGCGAGAACTTCCCAGAACTTCTCGATCATCGTCAATAATTGCCTGTAATGTCCTGTTACCAGCAAATTCCATGAAAATCCACACATCTTGTAGATTTTCTTGCTCAAAAAAAGCCAGAGTCCGTACAATGTTAGGATGTTTCAGGGGGAGAGCCAATTTCTCTGCTTGGACACTCTCGTACATTGCTTGCGGGTTTTTCACGTTTCGATGCATGTTCTTAACTGCTATCTTTTTACCATCCAAACTCCCCTCGTAAACGGTTCCAAATCCTCCCGATCCTATAAGACGGCCAATTTCACAAACGGTGTTTAGAATCATTTCCTTGCCGTTATTTTTTGGAACGTGCATCCACCTTCCACTTTCGTTCGTGTTTGTGCAGAGTTCGAACTTGTTAGTTTTGCACGAAAAGTTCGTTGAAGCGTCACAAACGCGAAGATTACACTGAAATGGCTTTCCACTGAGGCGAACTTCTTCAAAATTTGCTTCTCTGCATGTATCTAACATGCTTCCCTTCTTGTTTGCACAAACGAATGAAGAACTTCGCTTAATGACGGTTGTATTTTCCCCGGTCCAGATAAAGACAGTTTAGCCTATGACGCGCATATGACTACTGGCAAGTGAAGTAATAGCTTATAAACAACATCCTAATCACAAGTTCAATCTGTGGCGAGCCACAATAAGGCCCATAACATCAAAACGTGTCCTGATTGGTTGAAATATGATGGTATCGTTTTTTAGGCCAATCAAGAGGGCTTTCAGAAATATCCGACATCGAACGTGACACAACAAAGAGGAACTCACAAGGGATGCCAGAAATCTGAGAACGTGTTTTAGTTTGTACCAAATCAGTCTTTGATCAGTTCTTCCTCGAAAGAGACTCATTTTATGTAGATTAAGCAGACTACTGGCTTCGTTCCTTTAAGCTATCCTTTAAGATCGGTGAAAATACGACAATTTTCCATCGCCTACTTTAGCGGCGAAAGTTCCCTTGTCCCTGCCCACAGCTCATCATTCATTCAACTTCCTTGAATACTACAATCTTAAAATTGATTTAATCCTCAAAATTTGACTGTTGTTGCAAAGCTTAGTCGCACAGAAACCATCTTGACGTGTTTTGAACAGTTTTTTTAATTTCAGCGGTGCGAGCATGATTTTTACATCATGATTATAGTTTGTAATTTGTACATAGTGTTGCATCTTCACTAAAGAAATTCCTATTTTTGGTAATTAGTAATATTACATTACCTCGGGAAAATTTGGTTTGGGAATATATCATGCATAGTGTCCAAGCTATTATTAAAATCGAAGGCACCCACGGGAGATCTTGTTGACTGCGTGGAACACCGCGAAGGAAGTAAATGAATAAAAATTTATCAAAGGGAAATAAATTTAGGGGGGATTATGCGCTATTGTGATGAAGTTGGTATTAACCTTGAGTTAGATTCTAAGAAACTTCGTCGTTTACTTCACTATTTAAGCATAGTCACGAATATCCGCTTTCAGCGAAAGAGGGGATCTCCCCGAAGACACTTCATCAAAGAACTCAATTCCATTTTTGCGACCTAAAGTCGGTTTGTTTTCTTTTAAAGTATACTTGTGACTGGAGGTGATTAACTTCGGAGTTTGGAGCCTCAGGTGACTTTCTATCGGTCCCCGAACTTCGAGCAGTTGCATATCACGGGATTGCCCACATGACGGTTAAAGGGCCATGTCCCACTGCACGTGTAATTATGTAAAACTTTATCGTGGAAACTCCAAAAGCGTGTTTGTCCCCATGCAATTCCTCGTGTTAATCGGCAAGTCATTACAAAAGCTCCAGAAATGTCTTAAGCAGACTTTTCTCATAAATTTTGCATGTTCCTAATTTGTTTCTTTCGAAACTCCTGCACGCAACCTTAGGTGGTTTAAAATTTGTATTTCCTTGTGTGACGGAAATGGCTTTTAGACCGACCTTGTTAAATGCAGTTTCCATTTCGTGCACTGAATTCATATATGACGAGCCACATCGATCTATTAATTTCTTCAATCAACTTTAAGATGTAAGCTCTGTTATGTCAGAAGTAGGAGAAAAACCTGGTACAAAGTAGATTTCTCTTCTAAAAACTCTTTTAAAGCTTGGTGCATCGAGTAGTCGCGTGAGTGATTCTTTGCACATGATACTAAGGTGTTGCAACAAAAAAATTTATGCGTTAGATGTTCCATTGACTTAATCAACCTTGGAAAAGAGAAAATTGAGGATGTAAAAACAGATTAAGATATTTGTCAGTTAAATAGTAATTTTCCTGATTTTTCTGAGAGCTCGCGCGTAAAACAACGGCACAAGACTGGATTTTATTTTTCCTCAGCTTGCAAATAGCAATCGTGGCGATCGTTAGCGGGGTCGTTTTGAAATGACGCAGATCACGTTTAGCCTTAATTATTGTGTACTAGCAAAAGGGTCAAGGTCGAGTTTGATATCAAATTTCACCGGAAATTTAATAAAAGGACTACAATTCGTTGTCATTTATTTCCATAGATCATTTATATTCTATTTAACCATTTATTGAAGAAAAGAATGCATCGCATCACGTAAAACAAATCCTTATAAAATTTATATAAAATTGAACTTAAATTTTGCCAAAGAGGTATTCTTCTAGTCCTCCCAGTCTACCTTGGGTGGCCATGGGTATAAATGCTCGGGATCATTGTTGTTATTGATTTTAACTTGTTGTCTGATTAATAATTACTCATTCTACTTATGTGACTTTGTTACTCGGACAATAACTTCTTAACTTTTACAAGGGATTTTTTTGCCATTGAATCTGTCTTGAGGAATAACATCACGATTTTCTTGATAATTGCCTTCAGAATATTTTGGTATCCTTCTAGCGGAAAAGAAGTTTGAAGTTAAATTTACCGTGACCGTGTTTGTTGGCGCCCGTGACTTCCTACATGCTGCGTTACTAGTTACGTGACCGGAATGTAATCGCGCTTCACCAGACATATCTTTAACCAGTTCTGTTGCATGGGGTGTTTACTTTAGTGAAAACAAATTTTACTCAAGAAGAACGTTTGAAATCAAAACAATAAAATGCTGTTGTCTTTATAAATTATCAGAGTGCCTACGCGCGACGGGAAGAGCTTTTGCGAAGGTATGAGTAAAGGTCTCAGCGAGTAGAATGTGAGCTCTCGATGGGAAATTGAAGTATGGAAAATTTCTAACAAACCAGCGTTTCTCTAAATTTCTCCTGAACATGATATCAATGATTTTCACACGGTAAGGAGAAATTCTGTTTGGCATCTTGAGTTTGCATATTTGGAATTTATCACGAAGTAGTTTTCACGGAGGCGTCGTTCGTGATGGAAATTCGACCAGCTGCGTTGGTTTGAGCGAACTTAGAATTTTTCTTAAAATATCTAAATCGTCCTGTCACGTTTTGCTGTTACAAATTTTTGCACTTTCAAGACGATGTATATTTATACTCCAGTTCCTTACAGTAGCTTTCTAGGAATGGGCTGATTCCTTGGCGCTAAGTATCTTGTTCCGTAAGCGACCCCGGAAACTGGCTGTTTGCACGTACTTGACAGAAGGAAGCAATTATTTTGGGAGTAATTAACAATAATACTTATGCAAGTAAAATCATTTTGGATGAGTTAAAGCCTCTTCAAAATGTTTTGATGAGGTTCTGGTATTACAGGTCAAGAAATTATGATATCCGGAAAGAAGAACTCAAAGGTTTTTTTTTTAATTCATATATTTTTAGGGGACTGTGCATGCAAGCACGATGCTCATTTCATGAATGTCTACATTCGCCCGTCGGCAATTTCACCAACGCAAGACAACATGCAGCTGTCTTTTACGTGATAAAGGCTTTCTAATAGGATATTCGACGATCTTCAAAAGTACTATTCATGATAATTATTGAAAAGTATATTTCAAAGCAAGGAGAACTTTTGACATTGAATTTGTGAAAACGTTACTCAAGAAATGAAGGCAGCCTGTTCATCACAAATTTTATCCATAAGCAAATTGCGTTTAATAAACATTTTTTTTCCGTAGTCAGGTTTGCCACTCTGTCATTGTTCCAAACAAAATAAACATTTATTTTCTACTTTTTGTATTTTTCTCCATAATTAAGCCATTACAAGGTTGGAACCGGAAACTCTCAAAAGTTTCTAATGGATGATGCGAACTTTTGACTTTAACTTTTCTATAATTGTACCGTGAAGAATAACAGGGGGAGGGAGTTGGGGGAACTGAAGGATATTACTCTTTTGATGCATTTACGGGACTTTTTTTTAAGGAGGGGTGGTAGGGGAAGAAGTATTGCTCATCTTCAGACAGGAACAACTGCTGGAAAGGTCGGCGAGACTAAAGGGGGCCCCATACAAGCGGCGTGTCTGGTCGTTTGTTCGAAATATAAAAAAATGTATGGGGGAATATTGAAGAGTCGTAATATCGTAATTTATATCGAGGAATGTCTATTTTAAGGCTCAAAATAAATGTAAACCTACCTCACTTGCTGTGTATTGTCGTTTCTGTGGTTCTAAATGGCGAATTTCTCAACGCAAAATCTACCAAATCGCTCAAATTCGCCATTTAGAACCACAGAAACGGCAATACACGGCAATTGAGGTAGGTTTACATTTATTTTGAGCCTTAACATAGACATTCTTCGATATAAGTTTATGATATTACGACTCTTCAATATTCTCCCATACATTTCTTTATATTTCGAACAAACGACCAGACACGCCGCTTGTGTGGGCTCCCTGTTGGAAGTCCTGCAAATTTACGTCAACACGTCAGCTGGGTCACGTAACAGTATCTAATTGCGAATGTTTTTTCAACAGCATAAATTCTGTTTCTTTTCGTAGTGAAACAGAATGGGTTTAGCGGTATTCGTCTTGGAGTACCCTGGGTCCAATTAAAAAAGTAACAAAAGCTTATCAGGTGGATCAGTTCCAATTCAATCCTTTGGATAGGAATTTTAAGGTTCAAAGATTTAATCTAACTCAGTGAATTAAACTGTCTCTAACTAGTACTGTGTTTTGTATCTCAATAAACATTCAAAATGGAGAAGAAAATTCGCGGCGCGTTCTTCCTTGTTGATCATTGTTCAGCCACTTCAACAGAAAGTCACTGAAGTATGTTTCTAGCAGAAATTTTAGTTGTCTTGAACAGCAAAAACGTGTTCCCGTAAAACTAAACGAAAACGGTCTCAGAGCTAAAAGTATTGGAAATACAACAAAAATTTCATGCTAATAAATGATAACCTGTATGATGCATAGATTATTTGTGATTAGAATGATTATGGCTAATGAAGTTGTGCTCGTGATATAGTAGCTGAAAAAATCGGCAGATTTCTTCGTTGTGCTATCGCTTCCTCTCCAAGCTTGTTTCAGATAGAGACCACTCTGTATTGAATAGGTTCCAGACATTTCTCCGAAGGCGATTGTGGAGTTATAGACATAAGTTATGAAAATTTCAGGTCTAAAAAGCTCATTGAAAAAATCATTCAATTGAGCTAAAATTATGTATAACTACCAGAGGTTTGTATGGCTAAGGCCATTGCAGCACATGGCCTCAAACGACATTTTTTAGGCTTAAACAACTCCTTGCTAAAAA